TCCACCATGCCCCAACAAATCCCCCACCAATTCCAACAACCCCCATACCCCAACTCCCCCGCTGCCCACCAACCCCCACCCTCGCATCAGCCTCCCCCAGTCCCCGGCACAACACCACAGCCGACACAGTACACATCATACAGTCCGGCGCCTCCAGCTCCCACAGGCACGGGCGAGTACCAGGCATACCAGCCCCCACAGGGCGGGGCAGCTGGGTCTAATCCAGCTTCGTTTTATCGGTGATTGATCTTTCCTCCTACTAGCCATTATCTTTCGGTCCAGAGGGATCAATTCCTTGGCTGCGTTTAATGTTGACTTGGTCTCTGGCGCTTACACGGACTGTTTTCTTTTCTCTCTTCCTTTCCTCGCCTGTTGCTGGCTGTCTGTATCTACTGTGTATCTAGTCAAACACTGGTCTGAATTGTATGTCCGTACATATGTGTGTTACTCTCGGTAGTAAGTTGGTGGCAGTATAGCACTGTTGTGATGCCTCTGCGAGGCATAGGCATATATGGCTAGGTAGTCATGCCTCCATTGTCCACTTTTTCAGATACATAGCATAGGCTAGGGACTGAAGAAGTCTCAATACTTACTTGGGCGCCAAAATAAGCTCAAATTGTATGACAGAGGCAAATTAAGGTCATAAGCAATGCACAAGGCTGACCAATGAGAGCCATCTGTTGGGGTCACCGGCGGAGCCTCAACCCATCAACTTTGCGGGGACATTCATCTCATCTTCACGCCATGGCTCTAGAGTCCCTCTCTCCAGAGATCCTGTTAATCACTCTCGAATACATATCCTCCCCACTCGATCTCATCGCCGCTGTACATGCCTCACCCAGTTTATACCGAACCTTCATCGCCTACAAACAACATCTCCAGGGGAATACCCTGACTCGAGCAATCCATCCAACATGCCGAGCAGACGCCTATTCAGCCTTGGACGTCCAAAGGATCCCACAGCAGATAAAATCTGGGACGAAAATTGCAAAACTCAAAGCCGAATGTTTCTCTATCTTCGCCACCGATCGGAAACGCCGCTCCCAGAAACATGATGACTTCAAAGCAGACAATGACATGCTGGAAACGTTGTTCAATTTCCAGGCTAGTGTCGAACGTCTCATCGATACTTTCTGCCATTGGTCACTGGGCAATCTATTCTCAGCAGACCAAGGCCACTCCCCATTACCTCAACCAGCGACCATCCCAAGAGCCAGATTGTCACATACAGAACGAGCCCGTCTGCAGCGCGCTTTTTATCGCTGTGAGGTCTATGCCAGATTCCACCGAGTCCTTCAACTCCAGGATAAAAGTTCCGCGATGAATTTTATTCAGATTCTCATGAGCTACGGTTCTCAATTCCAACAGCACGAATTCGAAGAAATGATCTGTGTCAGACAATTCTTAGCAAAGTGTGTGGAATCACTCTGTGAACGGGTAGAGGATGATTTCCTTGCTTTCTATACTGGAAAGGGTCTATTCGACGCAGGCGTCGGGAAGAAACCCGCTCAGGAACTTGATACCCCAACTGAAAATTATGACACAGGCAGAATCCTCAAAGACTGCGGACTGTCCCTCTTGACAAGAGATTACCGTAATGCACCCTATCACGATAACCATGTCAAATACCTCGTATCCTGCGGCCCGGCTTATATCCTCTCCTTGAACGAACTACCACCGCGAGAGCTCAAGCACGTCCTCCTCAAATCAGAACGCCACTCGCATGACTTGGATATAAATGATTACTTTGTTACGGAGGGTATGATAAATGATAGATCGGATGAGAGATCCGAAATGACCCTTTATCGCGGCAAAGTGGTTTCCATTGACCGTGATGAAGTTGATAAGCACAATCTGGGGTGGAAATGGGGGACTAGTTTCGCCACTGGTGTCAAGCCAGATTCTCCATCTAATGTTCTCCTTCGGAATATGGGTTATGTCTTTTGGGACATGAGACGTTTGGTGGACTCCGGGCTTGTGGCTGAGCCTTACGTTGTTGCTATGGGGGCTGACTGTTTTCCGGCTGGGTATAAGAGGCCTTTTTCTAGGTGTAGTGTTGAGGAACAGCTTTCTCGATGGAAGGTTGATGTGGAAGGTTTGCGGGAGTGGAAGGATGAGTAGATGTGTATTTTGGAGCAGAAATGATGAGCGCAAGGTCTCGATGAATTGAGAAATGATGATGCATTCACTGTGCCTACGGTTCTCGGGCAATCTTCAAGTACTGCATGGACAACAGGAGATGTCTTGGTCTGTAACTTCTTCATGTCAGCGCTTGATGGTATCTATGAAAACATGATTCTAGATGCCAGAGGTAACCTACGTCGCACGAATGCAGAAAAGAAAGGATTATTTGATCTCGATACCTAATTAAGCAGTGAGGCGTCCAAACGTGAATCCACTGTAGTTGCAAAATGGATTTATTTGCCGACCACTCAACAAAATCCTAGAAACCTAACAATATGTGTGTATAGAGATCCCCCTCCTGAAATAGTTTCAAACCTGGTCTTGATTTTGTGCAAATATAGACTATGGCCTAGGTTTCTGCTTTCATTGTGATTCTATCATACGCTCCGAGATTTGACGTGTTCCATAATTGTAGCAGCATCACTTCCGAACAAATTACTAATCATTATATGCTATGCACCTTTTAATAGAACTTCTAATTGAAGAAAACGTGTGTTTGTATTAACGTTAGTCTCTTTTAAAGTGCAATTATCACTTTTGTATTACTCATTATCTTATGTTTGTTGCTATTAACGACGCCGGGATAGTAATTTGTTCAACCATGGTATCCCTCTGAAATATCCACAAGACTCCGAACACGAACCGCAAGCTCAGCTGACAGACTGAGGCTGATGAAAAATTGAACGAACTGGTCATGACATAGAGCTGACTTCATGTCACAGCAGTGGAATCACAATATCCCATTCCTATAGGTACTTTAGCTAGTCATCTTCATGGTCATCTCTCTACCTCCCCAATTAAAAAAAAAAAATACTTTTCATAACCCTTCACGTTTCAAATTGAACAATCAAAGTATATCACCTTTCTGTCAAAGAGGAGTTGAAGCTTCCTTACATCGATCTCAATATTGTGGATTGTGTTTATTTCATTGTCGAACTAATCTTGAAGTCCACCTAAAAAGGGAAAAAACATACGAGGGCATTAGAGGCTCCATCGAGTTCCTGATTATCCGACGGAGAGCAGATAGCTTGAGCCTCTTCCCTAACAAAGGCTGCGTCTCCTACAATTGATCTGCGAATCTCCTTGCAATTGCAATTCGCTCACCGATCTACTCCGAAAGCCAGAAAGAAAGTCTTTGCTTTATATTTCTTTGTTTATAAAAAAAAGTATGTTAACCCTTTTCGTATTGGAACATGCTAACAATGGAAAAGGGGAATCCATCACTGGGGGAAAAATGTCAGCAGAGTATACAACTGGGAATGGTGTTTTTACATATCGCCACAGCTACGACTCGGTCAGCTGGAGATATCTCCTCGAAGATGTTACAAACATCGCCAACAACTACTTAGTCAACGAACATGTGCAAGAGCCCAACGTTGCCACCATTCTAGCGGGTCGCGACTTTCACAAGTATCGCGACACGGGGACTTGCTATCAGATGTGGCCTACCAAATTCGAGGTTCACTCTTATGTTCCTGGCTTTGTCATTCACGGCAATGGCGTCTTTCACTACAACTTTGTGCAAACAGAGTATCGGATGTTTTGGACTACGAAGAAGTGGGAGGTCATCGGCGCGCCGAACGAAGTAGTACCTGCCTTCGATCATATTCCATCTTCAACGGAAATGGTTGAATTATTCATCCAAGGAATTCACGCGGCTGGTCTTTCCCCGCTCGTTAAATTTCTAGCGCACGGGCTTGGCGATTCAGAGAATCGGAAACTAACTGTGGAAGATTATATGGCCGACTATGTAGGAAACCTACGCCCTGACTCGAAATACTCTTAGGGAGAGAAAGATAAAGAAGGGATATGCAGTATTAATCGTGTATTTTAGCACGCCTTGGTATAGGTTTTTCCCTACTTTGATAGGTTTCCCTATACACTTCGTGCCAATGCAGAGGCGCTATGGTTCAATGCTCCCTATGTTACTGTCTTGATAGGATCAAAATAATTTCAGAAACAGGCCTCGATATGCAGATTTGATCTGCATTGCAGATCACGGGTGCCACAGGCGATTTCTCATCGCAGACACAAGCGTTGTATTAAACCTCGACCAATTCTCGGTAGAAAACGACACCGAAGAGTACCTTAGCTAGAAAATATTCCGATTTGCTGTGCTTTGTTTGACAAAGCCACAATGGATGCAAAATTCAGACCAATTGTCCAAGATGCAACAACTACACTTCATCCATTATACACAATATCGACCACATGAGAATGATATATATGCTATCGTTTCCATCGCTGAAAAATCACCTTATATCTCCATGACTCCTTGAGCTCGAGCCTCGAACATTTGTTAGATTCTTCGATCTCGAGCCTCGTACGCTTCATCGAGACTCTTGTTGCTCGAGACTCATACGTTTCAGACATTCAATATCCCGGTCTCTATTCTCATCCGATCCTATCCCGTTCTGCTGCTTCAGGGATGGCAGTACGGTCTGCATAGCTTTGAGTGCAGACCCATCTGATACTCATGGTCTCCTGGGTTTTCGGTCTCCTCGCAGTTTCTTTTCCTCCATTCCCTTTTGTAGAACCTCGTTTTAGCCCGTATTTTATTTCCAGATCGGGAAAATACGATGATATGATTCTTGCCGTTCCATCTCCATTATGTAACCCATGGCGTAGTGGCATTATGAAAGGAATAGAGAAAATGGGGGAAGTGGTGAATCTTCGGGCCAGATTAAATAGTAAAAAATCATTTTAGATGTGGTTCGGAATTTGACGTAGTATGGAGGTTGTGTTATATGGAGACATAACTTTGGAACGGGGTTCGAGTCTGTGTAGGCAATTTCGTTATAACCAGATAGCCACCGCTACTCGAGCTTCTGCCAGAAATCCTCGATGAGTCGGGCTACCTCTGGCACTTTTTGCCTCACAACACCATGTCCCACCTGCGGAACAACAGAAACATTCCGCATGCCAACATCGTGCAAATCCTGTACACTGCACACGTCGTCCAACTCTCCTAAGATACATAGACCTTCAATGCCCTTTGTTGCCGCTTCGGCAAATTCAGCATGTTTATCTAAACACCCACCATCTCTGAAAATACCAACTACACTTGCCGCATGGCCTTGATGCTGCTTCATCTGCCAGTCTCGGACTGCTTCTGCAACCACTTCGCCTCGACCAAATCTCTCCTTCCAATCAGAAGGAACGACCAGTTGTCCTCCGAGGAATTCCAAAATCCACGAGCGCGCCTCGTCCTCTAATCCCTGACCACCACGCAAATAGCTCCTCTGCAACTCATCAAACTGCGTTGAGCGCAGTAGACCCGCGGGTGCGACCAGCACCATAGAGGCGACGCGGTGTGGGTACGCAGCCGCGAAAGTAGCTGTGGTGGACCCACCAAAAGAGTAACCAACAAAATGGGCAGTTTCCCACCCAAGATCCACCATCACAGCCTCGAGTAATGAATGAAAGAGTGTTGCTTCGTGCGCTGCAATTGGTGTTTCAGTGAGCCCGTGGCCCCACAGGTCAACCAGTACACATTGCGCATACGGGAAACGCGAAGATAGCGCACTTGCTAATGGTAGCAAACCGATTGCGGGGGTTTGAACGCCGTGCACAAAAAGTACGCGGGAGATTGTCGTTTTAAGGTCTGTTGGTGTAGGAGACAAGGGTGACAGCTCGTAATATGCGACTTTGCCGTTTGGAGTCTGCAGATACCGTGCTGATGGTAGCAGGTTACCGAACGTTGCGCCGTAGTCGGCTTCAGATGGTGCTTGAATTGGTGGCTCGTTGGACTTGACTGTCCCTGGTCGAGGTAGCACGAATGAATTGTTTGCCATGTTTATAGACAGATGTGTGATGTTTATATCACTTGGAGAGGTGATGGAGGGGAAGGTAAGCATAGCCGTGTCACAGGAACCCCCCACCTTCCGCGTTCTGAAGCTGAGTGTCCAAATACGGCTTAGGGCGGTTTAGTATACGAGACAGGAAACATGTGGGTAATTTGAACTATAGCTGTATAGATATTCGATATGGACAGACATGGTCAATAAGTCAAGAGGCGGGGTTTGTATTTGCATAGCTAGTTGCAGACAAAATTGTGGGGTTAGGGTTCCCCATAACGTGAATCGATGACTTCGAAAAGCCATTCTCCTAAGTGGCCATCTTGGACACGCTTTTATTTTCCTGCTTCGAATCAGCAGTGGCTATTAACAAGCTCGGTATGAATTAGCCCGGCTTCAAGTGGTTAAGAAACTCTATGTAAACAGCGTTGCATTCGATATTCGGAAGATCCCGTCGTGTCCGTGCCTGAGCGACCTTAAATACCCATCATGGCACTATCTGTAAGGAAAAGGGTATAAAAGTCAATATGATTACATCGTTTATAGCAAAAACATGCACTACGTTGCTCGCTCTTGTGACTGGCTGCAGTGCTGGGGTTGTCTATAGAGATGTCTATGGGGAGAGCACCTGGCACAAGTATGTCCGCTCGCCCAGCACTTCGATAGTGAAACCAAAGAGCATTTTGACGGCGAATATTACCGGCAACGTGTCCAATCCCAATGGATTCTTGGAAGGCAATGATGCTCCAACAATCTTGAGTCGCAAGCCAGACGACCTCCATATCCCTTCCATCGTTGTTGATTTCGGTCAGAATGTGGTCGGAATAGTATCGATTGACTTCGCTCAGTCAACAAACTCATCTCAAGGGCTCCCAGGATTGAAACTGGCTTTTTCGGAAACCCAGCAGTTCTTGACAAACACGAGTGATTTTACCAGGTCGGATAATCTGCCAGATGTATGTCATTTGAAATCATTCCTTTGTCATACCAAGCAATGCTAATACCAACTAGGGCCAGAAAATAACCAAGGGCACTGATCAGGTACGTAAAAGGGGTTTATTCGCCTCCTCTAAGCAGATGCTAAAACAATATAGGTTGCCGTCGCCAACGATCCATCTACTTGGAAGAACAAGGCTGGCTGTCAATATGGCAACAAAGTATGCTCAGACGGTCTTCATGGGTTCCGGTACATGAAGATCTGGCTCGATGCCCTTGACAGCGACGCCCCATACACACAGCCTTATGGCTCGGTTTCCATATCCAACATCGAACTCGACTGGTCTGCCTATCTGGGAACTCCTGATACATTCACCGGATGGTTCGAGTGTTCCGACGAAGATCTTACGCAGTGGTGGTTTGATGGCGTCTACACTACCGACATGTCCAGTGGTACTTTCCTTGCCAATGAGACTGATCCTCGAGATTCTGCTACTCCGACGCTGGAGGGCACACGAGTTATTTTTGACGGCGCGAAGCGGGATAGGGATCCCTATGTTGGAGATCTGGCTATCGCTTCGCTTACCTCTTATCTCTCGCACGATGCGCCTGAGATGACTCGTAATATTCTTGTTAATTTGGCGAACCACCAGCGTGCGGATGGATGGATACCTCCTGCGAGCATGTAAGTTGGTACTATATGAGAGGTATGCTTCCACTGACACATGTCCAGAAACAACTATACCCTTCCCTTGTACGATTACCCTATGTGGTGGGTCGTCGCCACATATGATTTTGTCATGTACACTGGCGACACAGACTTTGTTGCCCAGTACTACGACGTGATGAAGAAAACACTGGATTCATACTATGGTCAAAACTTGACCTCCACGCATGGTCTGCTCAACAAGACAAATGGCTACGGTGACTATGCCTTCTTGCCCCGTTCTGGTGTCATTACATACTACAACGCGCTCTACGTGCACGCCCTAAAATCAGCTGCTCAGCTTGCCAACATTCTCGGCCACGACGCTGACAGCAACGCCTGGACCACACGTGCCTCTGAAATTGGTACCAAGATGCTTGCTAGAAACTGGGATTATGCTGTGGGTGCATTTTTCGATGGCGGGCCATGTCCCGATAAGTCTGGAGACACGATTTGCAATGTACATGCCCAAGATGGCAATGGCTTGGCTGTTCTATCTGGGGTAGTCAATACCTCTCTTGCTACGGGTCTACTCGACTTCTATGGAAACACAGCGGCACGACCTTACGGAAATGCATTCTATGACAACGATTCCATTCAAGCCGGGTTCTCACAGCGTGTCTACGCCTTTATTTCATACTTCGAGCTAGGCGCACGCTTCGCTACCCATGGAGCATCAAACTCAGCATTTGATGAGATCAAGCGGCTTTACGGCTGGATGTCGACGCACGACCCCGAGATTACGTTCTGGGAAGGCATTGGTCCAGAAGGAGCACCCTATGAAGATGGCTTTACTTCTATGGCCCATGGCTGGTCCACAGGAATCGTACCACTGATGAGCAACTATGTTCTCGGTATCAAGCCCACTGCACCTGGGTCCAAGACCTGGCAGATTTGTCCTGTAATCGATGGTGGCGACCTCACCTGGGCTCGTGGTGCGGTAGGCACACCCTCAGGCCCGATCAAGGTACGATGGGAGAAGGGTACGGATGGATCTTTTGTCTTGCAAATTGACACACCGAAAGATACGAAAGGGGCGATCTGTGTGCCAACTGGTGGATCTAAGGGTCGGGTTGTTATGGATGGGATGGAAGTCGATGGCAATGCAGATGTCGATATTATTGGCCCTATTGCGACAGCTGGAGAGGGATTCATGGTGGTGAAAGCTAGCGGCGGCGTACACATGGTGACTGTGAATGTGGGAAAATAAGAACATCCACATTTCGTTCCCAGCAACTCTAGTTCTTGGCCTTGATTTTATCAAGATAGTTTTATCCGCTAATTGCGTTGAGAGCTGTTCGACCCGTTAGTCAATTTCATTCACCTCGATAACTTCAATTTAGAATAAATGATCGCTAGCTAGATCTAGCCTCCAAAAGCCACGCAGGCGGGTCTCCGGTAGTATTCCCAGTACATGCGGCATTTATGCACATCTCGAGGCTGCCAAAAGCAAACTGCCTGCCCGTTAGCCCAGGCCCATAGTGGATGTACTTTCCAGAGTCTGTCATGGTTGTCTGTGTATTCTTCGGAATGACCGGCTCCTCAATAGCACACCAGCATGTGTCCTGTAAGAACTGCCCCGAACTTCTCAAGCTCCTCAACGTAGCCGGCCTGTGAGGCAAGGCCGTGTTGATCACGACCACAGGTAACTATCACGGCAACATCTTTCTCCTTCGTTCTTCCTTGGCATAATTATGCTACTTGCTTGATCTCCCGGAAAGAGAAATGCCGATTGCCCAACGAGATGAGGTCGATTTCTTCCCAAGAAGACTATTTTCATCTGTAAAATAAAAAATAATTATAAAATAAATGTTATCTATCCACAAAGCTTGTGGGCCAATACGAAAAGACAAAAAAGAAATGTGCATCATCCGTGAATCGAACACGGGCCTCGTCGATGGCAACGACGAATTCTACCACTAGACCAATGATGCTGGAACATCAAACAGCTGGAATTGCTGATTGGCTGCTGATATTAGATCGTCCCAGTTTGTTGTTATTACCTTAGCTCTGCCTAAGAGAAAAGAACAAAGTGTGTCATGCCCTAACCACGATAGGAACAATCTTGAATTGAAGACCTGCGATGCATGATCTACATCTAAAATCATGATGAATACTGCCTTTATGCATAATGTTGCTATCATTTATCAAGACATATTTTCGCCCAGAAAGACAGACGATACATCGAAAACATCGAATACGCCAAACAACGGCGGTATTGTGCTGAATATATCTCTATCACATACGAGATATTTAGAGGGAATGATTGGGCCCTCCCCTTGCAGAAGCTATTGATGGGCTTTAAGCCGAGGATATATCTTGCTCTATTCAGGTGTCTCACATCTTCTCAGCATTGCCATCTCAATTGTCATTCCTGGGCCAAACGAAGTCGCAACAATGTGCTCCTTCTTACCCAATGTACGAAGTCGATCCAGAACAATCAAAACAGTTGCACTGGATGAGTTTCCTCGCGTGCGGTAAATTTCGCGACTTGCTTGCAGTTGATCGTCCCTTAATTGTAGAACCTGTTGAGCCCCTTCGATAATAGTTTGTCCGCCGGGATGCAAAGCCCAGTCAAAATCACCAGCTCCTAACGATATTTGCAATTCTTCGCCTCCAGCTCCTGGTCCAGGACTAATTTTCTCCTTGTAGGGTAGGAGAAGTCTCTCAAACATTGGTTTGATAGCATTCATTGCGTAGGTAGAAACGTCGCGAGAGAGAACAGTTTGATAACCTATATCCGTATTGATCCAGATATTAGTACAAATGATTGATCTCAAAGCATTTTCAGAGATCGATGAAGAAGCAGGAAACGAACCATCTGTACCCACATAGAAAGACAAATGCTCAATCGTATCAGGAATAAAACTCGTCCCCCACTCAACCAGTTCAAACACAGGTGTGACATTCTCGTCCTTTGCCATCGCATACTCATTACAAAGAATAAATGCAGCGGCAGCATCCGAAAATAAAGCCCCAGCAATGCAAACCTGATCCGGATCTGCACATTTCTCTGCATATGCCAGCTCATTCCGGAAGTTAGGCGTACAAAGCTCACAGGCAAAGGCAAGAATCCGAGCCGCCTTTCTCTGCAGACTGGCCCCGCTGGCTATTTGTGCTGCAGCGCGCATGATAGAGAGCCCGCCTGCACATCCAACGCCCTGTAGAAGCATGCGATCGACCTGGGGTGACAAGCCTAGTTGTTGAACTACAAGTAGATCATACCCAGGACTGCCATGGTTGGTACAGGTCACTCCAACGGTATGAGTGATCTGCTCGGGGATGATGTGAGCTTCTTGGAGAGCCTTCTGACATGCCTGAACAGCGAGATCGACCCCGGCTTGTCGAAAGAACTGATCAAGATCCCGGACTGAAGGTCGCTCTTCTTGGGTAGCAAACCCATCTTCATAAGAATGAATTGCTGATCGAGTTTCGATGCCTGTTAAACGGTTTATTTGAAGCAGCTTTTTAACTCTAGGTACATTGGGTTAGACTTCGTTTGTTGAGCAAGCGAAGTAAGAATAACTACCCTGGACTGCTGACATCGCTAAAGCGTTCCGCAAATTCATCAATTTTTTCTGGCGCCAGAATATAATGAGGGTATTGTGATCCAAGTCCAATGATGTAAAGGGCTGAGATGGATGCCATGATGTGTGCTGACCCAAAGCGGGGGTAGATGACTGGCGACGAGGAAAATGCAAGAAGTAGTTTTCGTCTATACGCATACGACCTTGCGAAAAAAGAGTCAGAGTGCCCTGGCGCATCCTGCGAGTCGGCAAGTTCGAAGTAACGAAGTCCATTCAACAAGGAACACTAAGCTAGAGAGAAGAAGAGAAAGAGAATAGGAGGGACGCTAGGAAGCCAGTATATCTATATCTCCTTCGTCCAATCATCTCTGACCACTGTCCCACCGCTCTCCCTATAGAACATCTGCCATCCTCTAGCGACCATAAATCATATTATCCCCCCCATAAGACATCGTCTAGTCCCTAGACGACAGCAACTTTATCGTTATATTTATGATCATCGTGATAGTCGTCTTCTAGTGCAGCTTTTGTCTAACAAGAGAGACGCATCGGTGGTCCCGGTCGGTTAGGGTAGGTGTCATTGAAATCGATCAGCTTCTACGGCGCATTCCTAAAATTACTAGTAGGTTACTAGGCCAAATCTTCGTCGTATCCGATCCACTTAACCTATAATATAGCCGTGAAGCTAGGATCTCTCTAACTTCCTATTCTTACGAATCCTCAATAACCTCTAGTGACGGCGAGTCTTCGATTTAACCGGTCAATAGTGCTAACTTGTTAGCTAGCTGTAGCTTGCTCGGGTCGAAATAGACTTCCGCATACCCCAATTTGGTTCGAAGGCTCCGACCCAAAACCCAACCCAGTGTCACGGAGTCTCTAGGAAGCATACAGTAATCTCTCACAATCATGCATTGATCTCCCACAACCACAGAGGATCGACAATATATTGGTGTCGACACGAGATCATGGGAACAGATAGGTTGCCACCTGTGGCGTATCCCAACATCTGCCCATCTGGCACAATCACTCGGACATGTTTGTTGCCGCAAGCCCTTTCTGGACTACAACATTTAACAAATTTTGAGCAAGTATCTTCCTTTGGAGCCATTCGAGCACTATTACCACGGCAAGAATGCCGATCCAAGTCTCCCGGACTTGCTCCCCCGAGGTCAGGTGACAGTGGACGATATCACTCCATTTGTCGGCTTTGAAGTGGACGGCATACGGTTGGGTAAGCTGTCGGACGCTGGAAATATCCAGCTAGCCTTATATGTGGTTCAGAGACGTGTTGTCGGAAGACCCCCGTAGCCCTTATGGGCCACGAAGCATTTTTAAGCTCATGAGTGCTTGTACGACCACATTGCCATGTCACAAGATGTGCAGGCCAGCATCCACTGGAAACCCCGTACCGTGTGTGTGGGATGTGAGTATGAGAACAAATAAATGTTCACAGGCATCAGGCTAATTTCTTTGAACCGCTTAATATGTCATTCTGGCGTGTTTGACTTTGAAGATGGCTAAAGAAGACATATTGCTCGCCTTACGCCGCAGGCTGAGATGCCCTATGAGACTCCATTTGAAGGCCAGAAAGTTATCAACTTGCCGTTGTTTAAGGATGACATTTGAGAAATATTGGTCTATCAATAACTATGAAGTAAAAGTTAACAGTTTCCTAACAAGCGAAGCAAAAAATCTCTCAATATGTAAAATTACAGTAACTTTTGCTATACTATTTGTTATTTTTCTTCGTAGCTTATGCTGCATCATTCCGTAGTTGAAATGGGCACTTGGGCACTTAGTCTTTAAAGCAGAATGTCTAGAGCGAGTCGTTGAACGTAGAGACGATGGTGGGAACCATCACGTATTTCGAAAAAGCTGCGTCGAGGAATAGCAGGCTATTCTTACCATTAGCAGCTTGAGCTCCACTTTCATATAGAAGGACCGGCTATTCCTATGCCTTAGCGAAAATCGCGCACCTGTACGCGGGGCATATCAAACGATCTGAGGGGTCCCGGATATCTTGGCGCCTAGTATTGTCTTGGTAACAATTGACGTAGACCTGGCAATCCTCGATACTGGCTACCTTTGCCAGAGGCTTTTCAACCAGGATGAGATCTGCATTGTATGACGAGTTTTTCCTGCAATTCAATAATGCAAGAAGTCCTCAGTTTGCCCAATCAGTAATATATGTGAGTAACCATCGAAATTTGTTTATTCATGCAGATGATACGAAGACTAGGATATGTTTAGAGCACCCTGACACCCGAACTGAGCCCAACTAAACTAGATGTTTTCCAGTTTCCCAATCAAGTTTATTAGCCGATCCAGCCAGTCATTCAATCGCAACTGCCCCACTTTGATCCTAGCTACGTAACTGTGGCAGCATCGGGAATGGCGGTATCTGGTCCGCCGACCCCCGCAGTAGCTTTGTCTATATAGCTTGCCTACAAAACCGTTACTTAATTGTTGAAAAGGCCTCGCACGGCCAGATATCACATACCCTGATCCAAAGCTTTCCCAGTCAGGTCATAAATTTTAACAAAAAGGTAAGCGTCAATACTCCCCTTCAGGTTGCTCTTGATCTGACACCTTCGTTAAAACTAGCATTACTGTGAATATCATTCAACAAAAATGGCTTCACGTTCATCAGAAGGCACTGAGAGATATTTCCACCCCGGAGAAACGTCTCGTCATGCTGCGACCATTCTTGGATTCCCATCTAAATTCTCGATCGCCCCAGCTTATTATGAAAGCGCATGTACAGACATTGCTCACTTAGCCTCTGTGATTTCTGCCTTTGAATCAGTTCGATTGTATACGCGAGCAGAAGATGTTCCGAAAGCAAAGTCGATGGTCCGCCAAGCTGTTACACAATATCCGAGCAACACCTCAAATATATGCATCATTCCCTTTCCCACAAACCATCTTTGGGTTCGTGATACAGGTCCTCTTTATGTCTTGGGAATCGCCGAAAACGATCGCCAACGCCGCTTTGCAGTTAACTTTCGCTTCAATGAATGGGGGAAAAAAGACGATATTAATGATCACAGCCGAGCTTCCGACGGGCTTGATTGGCCGGTGATGTTGCAAGAACAGCTCCAAGAAAACGCAAACTTTGCCAAGAAAGTCATTGAATTCGACGTGTCTCCATCTTGTGTGACTGAAGTGGAAACAACCCTTCATCTAGAAGGCGGTGCATTGGTTGTGGATGGCGAAGGCACACTTCTGGCCACGGAAAGCAGCATCATCAATGAAAATCGCAATCCAGGTCTGTCACGGACCATGATCGAAACAGAGCTGCGTCGTTTGCTTGGGGTGAATAAGATTATCTGGTTTCCCGGCAGAAGAGATCTTGATGTTACTGACGTACATGTTGACGCTGAAGTCAATTTTATACGACCCGGAGTCGTTGTTCTCTCACGGCCTCATTCTAGCGTGCCTAAAGTATGGCTAGAGGTTCATGAAGAAATCAAGAAAATTCTGGGCGAATCAGTTGATGCAAGGGGTCGCAGTTTCGAAATACATATAGTCGATGAGCCTGACCCTAAAACCCTCGGTCAGTTGTCGTATACCGAGCCAGCAACCAATTATGTCAATTTTTATTTCGTCAATGGGGGGCTGATTGTTCCTCAGTTTGGAGACGAAGGAAAAGATCGAGAAGCACTGGATTTGTTTCGGAGGCTGTGTCCTGACCGCGTGGTTCAGCCAGTGCATGTGGTTGGACTTCCATTGGCTGGGGGCGTGATTCATTGCGCGACGCAGCCAGTGCTTTCCGTTGACTAGAGGTAAGGAAGAATAAATAACTGTCATTGAATGTGGAAAGATTCCGTTTTTTATCTCCCTTTGCAACTCCATTAGTGTATAAATGTTTCTAAAGAACACGTAGTTGTAAGCTTGCACAAATGGAAAAGGCTGAGAGGGGACGAAGGAACTCAGTTGTATCACGTAACCAATATATGAATTGTAGATACATTTATCTCCCATCGCATGACTTTAGCCAGGTTCTTACCTGCGATAGATCCCGCATGAGGCTTTGGGCGGATCGCGTCCATTAAGGAAACGACGAATCGGAACTCCAATCACCACGATGACTCATTGAGAACGAAAATTAACCATGTGGCTGCGCAAGAATGGCCTGAGTAATGACACACCCTGATGTCCATGAGAATGTCATTATTGCCAAATCTAACATCTATTAGAGGGAATGATGCCACCATCGAGAGAAGACGGGACGGTTGCACTGAGTGCCGGAGAAAGAAAGTCAAGGTAAACCACGATTGGACAAAATGATGCTTTGGAAAATATTGTACTGATTTATTATAGTGCGACCTACGACGACCAGTATGTTTACGCTGCAAGCGCTATCCCAGAGGATGCTCTTACAGTCCGAACTTTATCTCACAAGTCCTTGAGCGGCCAAACGCTCGACAGCGAGAGGAAAAAAAGTCCATCAGCAGTCAAACGTCATGGGATCTGACGCAGCAAAGTATGGCTTTGGTCCCATCACTGCAGCAACCTACACTGAACCATTTCCCATTCCTGTTTACAGAGGAATCTAAATTTCTGATGCACGTCTTCGCCACGCGGACAGTCAATACACTATTTCCTGCAGCACCTGATCTCTTCCCGCAAAGATTGATTAGCTCCGCTCTAATTACACCTCATCTTCTTAATGCTATTCTTGCTTCTGCGTGCAGCCATCATGGTCGGTTGCTGAAGGACGCGAGCTCAAGACGCAGGGTGACTTGTTTAAAATATACGAACTCGGCTATCTGCAGCCTGCGTGAAGAACTCTCAGGCACTAAACAGAAGCCTAGTGCCGAGTTAGTTACGACTGCATTGATCTTGAGTACAAATGATCTTTGTAATGGGAATATACCGATCTGGCGAACCCATCTCCGGGGAGCCTTGCGGCTTCTGCTTGCCTTGCTAGAAGAGCAAACATTGTTGTCTACTCCGATCGATCCATTCATTGAGTGCTTGGCTAAATGGTTTAAGACAATGGATGTTCTTGCAGCTTTGTCAGGCCTTGATGTGCAATGTATTCACAACCCCGAGGATGTTTTGTTGGGTACATCTCTGTTACAGTCCACGGACAATGTGGATGATATTTGCGGTTTTTCGTTGGATTTGTTCCAATCAATGGCACAAGTATCTCGGTGGGCACACAGGCAGTATTTTAACTCGAGTACTGGACTTGTATGGAGCGATCCGTCAGTATCAGAGTTAGAACTCGAGACAAAGCTCTATGCTTTGCTTGAAAGGTCCATCCCAAGTACGAGGGTCACCAACGGCCACATTTCTGTTCTTGAGCTTCAGAGCACACATCGAGCTTTCACTCACTCTGCTTTACTACACCTCCATCGCCGTGTACAGATGCTACCAAAAAACCACATCCAAGTCAGAACGGATTTAAACAACATCCTCGATGCCGTATCCCTGATCCATCCCTTCTCACTGGCAAACATCCTAATTCTTTGGCCAGTATTCAGTGCTGGATGCGAGACTGACATCATTACAGAGCGGGGAATGATCCAAACCCGTATGGGAAATATGCAGAGCCTTGGAATGGGTAACTTCGCTAGAGCCCGACAGTTACTCCACAGATTCTGGTCGTCGGAAACTTCACTGCCGTGGGATGCATATTTTGCACAGGTTGGACTTGAGCTTGTTCTCTTCTAGCTATTTGTTATTTCACCGAAGGGCTGAGGACATGATATTTCATGGGTGATGTTAGAAGGATCCCCATTCCTTGATATTCGAACCCCTCTCCACCTGCCTAACCCTGGTTAGGGAAGGCATAGTATTTGTTTTACCAATGTCTACGGTAGGCACAAAGTGCCTTAGAAATTCAAGTTAGCCCGAGAGGTATTTCCCACAATTAGGCCAGTTGCCTGAGCGCTTGCTACCACAGGCTGAAATACTTGAGTTGCTAGCTCGAGCACCACACCTAAACGTTGTCCGTTATTATGGCTGTCGGGTTGCTCGGGCTTCTGATGGATAGGAATTCACATGACTTGGAGGGTTATATCAAGAAAGGGAGCAGAAATGTCGATCAAAACGCTTTTATAATCGCCCTGGAGTTATCTATACATCGCATCCTTTCGTTGGGACTCGCACACAATGACTTGACCCCAAGGAACATTCTGGTCAATGAAAGAAATATGCCCGTTCTGTGATTTAAATGTGTGTCAACCTTTTGAGACCCCGTTGAAATACATTCCGGGCACACCTGGCTGGGTTTCTAGTGGGTGTTATTCTTTCTCCAATTTACCTTACTCTGTGTATCCAAGTCACTGAAATGCTTTTCGTAAGTTTCTTCGGAGAAAATACATTGAGGCAATTTGATTACTTGGACAACTAGTACGTGCTGGGGGGAGAAGTCCTTTATTTAATTTTAAAGGAAGAGCAAAAGCGAGATCTTAAAAGGACAAAACAACTTGAATGCAATATTCTCATGTCAAAGCGCGCAAATGGTATAATGTTCGGGATAACAATGTCTTTTAGCGGAACTGAGAATTGCCAATTGTGTTACGAAAGAATTGAAATTACAGGCGGTCTCCCCCATAGAACTTTCAGTCGTGAAAACAAAAACATAGTGAGCTACATTGAGGTCTACAGAATATTTTGGGGCTAATTCTTAAGAAATAAACCGATTCACGTCGGGCATTTCCCCCGACACTTTCGGCGGTCATCCGACACAGACGATCGAAATTTCCAATCGGAGAACTTTACGCGTGGAAAACAGTGATCTTCCATTTTCCTCTTTGATAACCCTTCCTATTCTCTCTTTTATGGCTATATACCGAGCTGTGTACGAAAATGGAACCCCACCGTCAGATACATGTCGCTGTCCTCGACACGGATATTCCCTGTCATCGTGTCTACGCCCAACGAGGATTGTACAGCTCGCAGTTCAGATCACTTCTTGCTGCTGCTGCAAAGCGTATCAATAAAAGCCAACACAAGCCACGAGTATTCTCGGTCAGTGCTCATGTCACTGCTTTTGATGTTGTTGGCGACTCACTGCCACCTTTCGAGGGCTTGCGAGTCAATCCCTGGTCTCCCACGGAGAAACAATCTTCTGGGTTCCCCGGCCCTGTTGACGCGATCCTGGTCACTGGCGCTGCAGCTGCGGTATATGATGATCTGCCTTGGATTCCAGGTTTGAAGAGTTTCCTACAGAAAGTACATTCTGGCTACCCGTTGGTCAAAATATTCGGGTCGTGTTTCGGCCATCAGCTTATAGGCGAAGCCCTGCTCGCAAGTGACAAGGTCTATACTTCCAAAGGACGTTCTTTCAAGGTGTCCGTTGGATTATCCCCGCATGGTCACGAAATTGGCATTCATCCTATCGCCCTGAACCCGGCGTTTATCTCCAGCTTTCCACCTCTAGCGCGGTTTTCGCAACAACCATTTCGCATGCAGCTCATTCATGGTGATGCAGTAATATCTTCGCCAGAATCTCCTGATGGTAGGGAGGCACTTCTGCCCGAACCGTGGCTCAATATGGGGAGCAGCCTTAGATGCCCGATTCAAGGCCTCTACCAGCCAGGGCGCGTTCTCACCTTCCAAGGGCATTTTGAATTTGACGCGTTTGCTACAGCTGAGCTCTGCTACAAATTTGCTGACCAGTTCCACTGGTCTCCAGCAGTTCTCGCTTCTCATCTGGAAAATATCAAACGCTCCACTGTGCCGGGAAAAGAAGAAGACGATGATTCTAAAGCAGCCGCAGAGGCTGTGCTTTTGTTTTTCGCCGGAGAGGACCAGTCGGTAGACTCAGATCTTCATCCGTCTTCTTGATGTGTGTTGATCTCGCTATCAGATTTCCACGGGGTTTGTTGTTTGCATCCGGCGGAGACCTCGGATGTCAAAGCCGAAGTCCCCGCACCGTCGGAGGAACATCCGAGCGTTATCAACTCTACGAAGCCCTTTGTATTAGAATTGTGAAACTAAAGTCATAAGATAAAATTGATCGCAAGGAACATGGTCAACTCAAATCCTCGATCTACTAATGCGTATGTTGGAGATGCGTTGCCTTATTACCGAATCTGGAACGTGTATGATAACAGCTTTGCAGATGTGAGACGTGCCGGAGGCGCAAGGTTAAGTGCTCAGGCGACAAGCCATGTCGCGCTTGCGTCAAACATAACTGGGAATGTACTTTCGGCCATTCAGGGCGCAGACGGTTTTCTGAGGCGTGAGTCCGTTGCGTATACAGTATTTGTTCTCTCCGACTAACCTTCATCTAGCCAAGTGAAGCACCTCTTGGATAAAATCCGAGTCTATGAGGAGCAGCTTTCATCTCAGTCCGTTGGAGACTCACATTCTTCGCTCCATTCTCCCAATGAAGGAGAGTTGATAACTGGTCGTCAGTCTTTGCAAGGCGGTTCTCCAACGCCCGCTGATAATGCGCCCAACAACTTGGCAGAAGGGGATTTATCATACGCCGACGATGATTCTGCTATAAGCCCAGGTACTGTGATATCTTTATATTACCGGCCATCGATGGAAGCTAACATCTCACGAAGCAACGGACCTAGCTTCAGGGCCTGCGTTCGAGTCTCAAGTCAGATCTCTTCTTGATAATTCCCGTTCAAGTGAAGTCACATTTCGGGGAGCTCATTCATCCCCTCATGTACCAAGTACCCCGGGGTCTCAATGGCCATCAATCAAAGAGCTCGTCAACGATGCCCCTGAATTGTCTATCCCGTCATTGGAAGAGTCGCAGCACCTACTTGATCAATTTCTTTTCTATCTTGGCGTCAGTCAGCACTTCTTTGACCCACGGTCTTTCTCGGATAACCTGGGACTGCTCTTTCAATCCCCAGAAACAAAGCATCAACAGATGAACACCACTTGGTTCGCCGAATATCTTTTGGTTATGGCCATGGCAAAACTTATGGATGTGAAACATCCCACTTCCCAGACACCTGGTGCGGAACTATTTGCGGAAGCACTGAAGCTTCTTCCTCCGTTACATCAGATGGGTGGAGAGGGTGTTGTGGCTGTTGAGATCTTGACCCTAATTGCGACATACCTTCAATGGTGTGACCGCAAGCACGACGCTTATCTCCATGTATGCCACATGCATTCCCTAGGGTCTTTCCGAAAGCTGACTTACATGTACTAGATTGGACTTGCACTGCGACTTGCCATAGCTCTCGGGTGCAACTTACAGGAAAGCGAACAGGGCTGCCTTCCTTCTGAAAGTGCCCACAGGCTACGACTTTGGTGGACGGTATACATGTTAGACAGGTGGGTTTTATGGAGGCTTTATTATCCCATAAGCTAATCAACATATCCAGGCGCCTATCTTCTGGCCTCGGACTGGCTGCAGGGGCTGACGAGCGACAATTACGCACTGAACTTCCTCGACACGCTGTGGGATTCCAATCTCCAATTGCCCTCGCTATTAACGTACGCATCGCACGGGTCACAGACGAAATCATGTCCAGTGAGTTACTTACACTACCCTACATTCTGATCATGGCTATCTTCTGATGCATGCGTTAAAAATAGCTCTTTATGGTAATAAATCCATTACGCAACTTGAATTGGTCCGAAAAATTCAGGATATTCTTCAAGAACTGCATGATACGAGTCGGTCATTTCCCCAGACATTAGTGCTTGACTTCAATCGGCCGTTAAAGGCAGTGACTCGCACAGGTGCGTCGTTATACCTGATGCTGTTTCAAGTAAGCCTGTCCTCGACTGGAATTATAACAACCAGTATCACATGTTAACTTTTGAGGTTAGGCAATCATTCTTTGTGCCCGCCCAATACTATTGCAAAGAGCTCGGTTGAAAGCACAACGACAACAGCGATCACAAAATTCTGAACCAGTACCCAACATCCTCCTTCGTCTTTGTGAGACGTGCAATGAAGCAGCCACTAGAAGTCTTGCCATACTTGAATCTCTTCGGCAGCAGCAAACAATCCGTGAGTCTTCCTTCCGTTAAGGCCCTACTTTCCCTATTTTGTCACATTATCTCTCTCGACGGCTTATTCTGACTCGATTCAAGCCCGGTATGGCTTTTTCGACCTGGATGCCACCTTTTCCGCTGCCTTTGTACTAGTGATGGTGGGGTTCCTTGACCATTCGCAAACGAAACCACCTTTAGCGCTAGATCAAGCATTCGAGGTGCTCCAGTTTCTATCTCAAGCAGGGAATCTAGCGGCCGAGCGACGCCTCCAAGACATTGCCCACTCCTGTTCCCACGTTTGGCCAGACTATGTCTTCAATGCAGATGAGCGACAAAGCGGTGCATTGTCTCGACAGAAGGGCCGGTTCATTGCAGGATCGGGTTCGAGGCAATACCCATTGGCGACTTCTTCAGGCTCTTCACTACCCAATGATTTCGCCTCCGGTGGTCGAAATTACCATTCGGATGAGTCCAGACTACTTGAGCCGTGGTCGAACATTGATTTTGCAGGTTCAATGTTCGACATGGACGTAGATTGGGATATGGATCTGTCTGGTGAAGCAGAAGGAATATATTCAAGCTTCCACAATCCGACCTTACCTTTGACGGGAGTTGACTATATCGACTGGTTGGAAATTGAGAAGGTGTTTAGTGGTCCATGAATTGAATTTAAGAAGTGATTTAACGATGGTAGTGTCACATCCAGGTTGTAATTGGAGATGCCCTTGCGAGTTCGAGTGACTTCAAATGTTTGTTAGAGTAAGCAAATAGAATAGAAACAAAGAGATGAAAAGTTGACAATAACTTCAACTACCTTTGATTCCACGTCAGTCGGAGTGTTGATTCGAGGCCATCACGTGACCCCTCATCGAAAGAGCGGTCCCTCAACCTGCAACGCAGTTGGCTCCGACCCATTCCTTCTTTCGTCGCGTCGAGCATTGCAAGCCGACACTTGATCTTCACTTTTGGTTCTACTTTTGATTATACCCTAACCTCGCTTTCGTCTGAATCTCAAATCGTCCTATAGCTTCCCCGCACTCGCGCCTCTCGCCCCGGACGATGCCAACCTTCGCTGGTTTCCCGCGCGGGTAGAGCCAGCAATTCTCGATAGATTTATATCGTACCGATACCAGAAACTAGGAGCCTCTGTGCTCTGCCAAAGCCACAGCTATGGAGGCCGACTGGGATGAGCTGTCGCGCATCCCAATGCCCCCGCCCAGTCCGCATGCTATGCCAACTATTGCGACGGCGACGGCATTTGACGATGTTATGGAGCTTTTGTGGACAGGCAATGAATATGTGAGCATTCGTCGATGCGGTCCCTGTAGGACGCGATTCTGACCAATGTTTTCCTTTCTTCCCAGGGCAGGGTCACTTCATTCTATGGACCAGAGTTGCAACGATATACCTCCGTTCGGGCCCATCCAGTATCCGATGGCATGGTACGACAGATTCTCTTTCACGAAAGAGGAGTGATTTCACTATCTTCGAAAAGTGTACATATGATCACGCGGCGAGGCCTGACCCAATGGCATCTTGCTCACGATGAAATGGTCGATCTGCGTTGCATGAGTTTTACAGCCCAAACAAATCGAATTCTCGTCGCAGGTTGTCAAAGAGTGATGTTTACTGTGGATATCGACAAGGGTACAATTGTTGATAAGCTTCCCACCGAATTCGGCTACACCCTCATGAAAAAGAGTCGATATCTCTGCGCGGCTACGGATACAGGATCAGTCAATGCTCTCAGTCTCTCGGACTTTAGTGTTGTCAAGTCATGGAAGGCCCACGGGACAGCTGTCAATGACATGGATGCGCGAAATGACTTGCTGGTTACCTGTGGCTTCTCCGTCCGCCAACTTGGTGCCCCCATTGTGGACCCCCTTGCCAACGTATATGACCTGAAAACCTTGACGCCGTTGCCTCCGATTCCGTTCCATGCAGGTGCAGCATATGTACGCATGCATCCCAAACTTCACACCACCAGCTTCGTGGCCTCACAGACAGGACAACTCCAAGTGGTGGATCTTATGAACCCAAATGCAGTAAACTTGCGACAGGCCAATGTGTCTCTCATGCTTGGGATCGACTTGTCACCATCGGGGGAGGCATTGGCTATCAACGATGCCGAATGCTCAATTCATCTGTGGGGCTCGCCGACCAAAGTCCATTTCAATGAGATGAGTAAAGAGACAGAATTTGCAGATGTTCCCACACGACCACCTCCGATGGACTGGTCTCCAGACGTTCCACTGAGCATGGTTGGAATGCCTTACTACCATGAGCGCCTCCACTCAGCTTGGCCAAGTCATTTGCTTTTCGAGGTTGGCAGTCCGCCTGCTCCATTAGATCAGTCAATACTGCCATATTTACGCCCGGCGGAGATGGGGCATCATGCTCCAAATCCGAGAAAGACTCGTCGAAATCAGGTGGAAAATACCCGCGCTCTCACCACGGCGGAGCCAGCTCTCATTGCACCTAAATTCCTGAGCGAAAAGGCTCGAGATATTAGCAAGTCAGAGGGCGCAATCGGCGATGCAGCTGAGGCGCTGGCTGGGGCAAAGATCAATGGGGAGAGCGATGATGATCCATTGCTCAAGTATAGCAACGTCGAAATCAAATATAGTCGATTCGGTGTGGATGATTTCGATTTCCGGTAGGACCCTTTTTCAATGCTGTTTATTCTTCACTCACCATTCAATAGATTTTATAACAAGACCGCATTTTCTGGTCTTGAAACTCACATCGCCAACTCCTTCACCAATTCCCTTCTCCAACTTTTCAAGTTTATCCCCCTTTTCCGGAACCTCGCACTAAATCACGCGGCTGGGTCGTGTCTGATTGAACATTGTCTGTTGTGTGAACTAGGCTACTTGTTTGACATGTTGGAAAAGGCCAATGGCCAGAATTGTCAGGCTACCAACCTTCTAAAGACATTCAGCAGCTTCCGAGAAGCCTCTAATCTAGGTCTCCTGGAAGAGAATCTTCCCAACAAGTCACTTTCAACAGCCATCCAGGCAGTCAACCGTTTCTTCCTGACGCAAATAGCTCACGACTTCCGCATGATTCAACCAAGTTCTGAGGATCTCGACCAACGTCTCGCCACAGTGGCATCCGAGTCTATTCGGTGTATGTATTGCCAGAATGAGATTGTTCGTCCTGGCAATTCACTAGCCAATGAACTTATATACCCGAACATCGACATGAAACATGCACGACGGAATCCGGTATTCCGATTCTCCAACATCCTTCGCGCGAGTATTGAAAGAGAGACACAGAACCGCGGCTGGTGTAATTATTGCCGTCGCTACCAGCAAGTGACTATCCGCAAGTCCATCCATCGTATGCCTTTGGTTCTCGTCCTTAATGCTGCCTTGACCAATCCTCTCTGCCGTCGACTTTGGTCAATGCCAGGCTGGCTCCCTGACGCTGTTGGCATCCTTGTTGATCCTAGTGGACAAGTGATGTGTTTCGAGGGTGATGAGCTCCAACACCGACTTCAAAGTCAGACTCCGGGGCTTGTGGTATACGATCTGGTAGGCTTGGTGGCGGAAATTGACATTCCTGAGCACCAAAAGCCGCATTTGGTGTCCTTCGTCAATGTTTCCATCTCTGGCCGTGAAAACCAAGACCAAAGCAAATGGCATTTGTTCAATGACTTCTTAGTCACCGAGGTCGAAAAGGACGAAGCCTTACGATTCACACAACCTTGGAAACAACCCTGCGTCCTGGCTTACCAAGTCCGAGACCCATGTCATGTCGTCGATGACTCCTGGAAGAATCACCTTGATAAGACCTTGCTATTCCGGGAGTGGTCTTTGAAGTGAGTTTCCCCCTCTTTTCCCGAGAGAAGATGCTAACAAAGTGATCAGTGGTGGTCGTCAAGTGGAGTCATGTCGTACTCTCACCGAGGAAGAACTGCCAAAGTCCGGGATACCTGTCGCATTGGATACTGAGTTTGTCGATCTCGAAAAGGCTGAGATTGACGTCAAAGCAGATGGATCACAGGAAATGGTCCGTCCCAACAAGAGTGGGCTGGCTCGTGTATCCGTCTTACGGGGTCAAGGTATCCAAGAAGGGGTCCCCTTTATTGACGACTATATCATCATTCGAGACCCGATCGTGGACTATGTTACTCAGTATTCTGGGATCAAGCCTGGTGATCTGGATTCGCGAACCAGTGAGCACAATCTCGTGACACTCAAGGCAGCATACAAGAAGCTATGGTTGCTTCTGAACTTGGGCTGTGTGTTTGTCGGTCACGGTTTGGCATCTGATTTCCGCAAGATCAACATCCAGGTGCCAAAGTCTCAAACGGTGGACACTCAATATCTCTTCTTCCACCCTGGCAAGAACCGTCGCCTCAGTCTGAGGTACCTAGCCTGGGCTGTTTTCAAGGAATACATCCAGGAGGAGCCCACACCCGACACCGTTCAAGGCCACGACTCCATTGAAGATGCTCGCATGGCTTTGCGCCTGTGGAAGAAGTTCCAGGAATACGAGGATGCAGGCATTGTCGCACAAATGCTCGAAGAAATCTTCCGCGAAGGCTCCAAGCTGGGCTTCCGCCCACCTCCTAAAAACGGCGGCACTGCTGTCGTTCTCTCTCGACCGGGTACCGCTGTCACCATGCAGAATGACAGCGGACGCAACACTCCTAGCACCCCCGAAACCCGTTCTGCAGCGGTCGCTGCAACCACCGCCAACCCTGGGCCTACCAGTGCCCCCACCACTCCTCGCCAGGCTTTCAGGCGATCTATCGCGTTGACTCCCAGCAATGGAAGCTTCTCTGGGCCTGGTGCTGGTGATTTCTTCGGTGGCAGTCCCTTACGATAAATATACATTAGCAGCACTTCGTCTTTTTGGAATACACTATTCTTATATCTCTGCAGAGTATGCGTAGAATCAATAGAATCAGTTGGAGATACACTACAGTAATGTTGTATAGCTGGCCAGGGATAGTGGGGTATGACGTGTCGGTCAGCGTTTCTGCCACAACAGAGACATCCCACTTCTTTCTCCTCAGCTAACTTAGTACTGTCCTGTACATTCTGTCGACATTTTGCGTCTTTTCGTTCTTTTCGTTCTTTCAATTGACTTATTTCGTCCTCCGGCGTCCTCTTCCTTCCCTCCGCACCTCGAACCCCCAACCTTTCCTCATGTCGAGACACCGCATTAAAGACGTCGGCTACGATGACGAAGATTACTATTCTGATGACGGGTATGCGTCGCCAGACCCCGAAGAACAGGAATTCTTGCAGCAGTGCACCGCTGCAGTTTTGCAACAGCTCGGTGCGGGGCAACCGCCGGTGACCGCTACGAAAGAAGAAGTCCAAGAAGCATTATGGCATTACTATAACGATATTGAGAAATCTGTGAATTATCTGAGGGGTATGTTTTCTTGCAGACGAGTCTCCGGGGTTCCGAGGATTTCGAGAGTTTCGCCGGGGGGTTGTCGCTTGTTGTAACAGTTTGCTAACGTGATGTTTTACAGGGAAGAAAGAAAAGGAGGCTTTAAAGCAGAAACCAAAGGCAGCAGGTAAGCAATATTCTCGCAGAGGTCGTTCTATCGAAGTGTTTTGGCTTGGTTCGGTCGGGGCATCAACTACAACCGGATCGCGAGCTGCAATGTTTAAGAAAGGTGTGTTTTGACTATGACGCGGAATCCCCTATTCATTCAATCTCTCGGGACTCTAAACTGACCGTCTGGAAGTTTGAACAATGTTCTAACAGGTCTTGCAGTGCCCGCCTTTCCTGCTCCATGTCCCACGGCGCATTTCTCGGCGGCGGACTTCTTTCGCGACTGTCCCTGGCTCAACGTTCCCTCTCATCGGAAGGCGGAGATATTGGTCGAGCCTCTCTACCCGCGTTTGGGGCTTTTGGGTGGTGCACCAGAGAATGGCGGAAAGGTCTCCAAATTGGCGGCTTTAGCTGCTGCTCGAAAGAAGAAGGAGGGTGAGAAAGCCCCAACCCCGACGGGAACTCCAGATGCATCGTCCTCGCCTACGCCTTCGCATGCTCCATCTCCGGACCCCCAGGCACCACTATCTCTTCGGGAAAGGCTTGCTGCCAGTGGAAGATCCACACCGAGACCCTCTGAAGGATCTGGACTACGACGTTTGGGCAAATCAAGCTCCTCATCTTCGTCATCATCCCCGGTCCCAAAGGAGCCCCAACCTGAGCTCAAATCCCCCGAACCCCTGCCTGAACCAATGGATAAATCCAAGGCAGAGCCTGAGCCCCGAGAAACAGTTCCCAACATTCGTGCCTCGCCCTCTACCTTTGCTAGCACCATTGTTGGTCCGGCAGCAGGCCCGACAACGGCCGGGCCAAGCCACTTGCACTCCAATAGTGCGGACCTATTGAAGCTATATGGACAGGATGCTGAACCCTTTGACTTTGCAGCCCCCAGCCCCGACGATGTCGTTCTGAATGCACAGAGCACAGCGAAAGGTTTGGCGATCCGCAGAAAGGTCTAAAGGCACCCGCCTAATAATGTGTAGGATTCAAGTCGAACACGGCCTCGAAATCAGCTGGGAATAAGAAAGCCCAGGCTGATCTAACTGGTGGGATAAAGGATTTATCAGTGGAGGAGAAAGTGACTGTCAAGAGCAAGAATCTGGATGTTCTAGCGGAGTACAAAAAGTCCAATCGCAAGAGGTCGGCTAACTTTGTTGTTATTGGTAGGTGCTCACTAGTGGTTAGTATGGACTGTGGCTGATTCTATAGGTCATGTTGATGCTGGAAAGAGTACCTTGATGGGGCGGTTGTTGGCAGACCAAGGTGCTATCGACAAACGGACACTCGACAAATATCGGCAAGAAGCTGAGAAGATCGGTAAGGGCTCCTTTGCACTGGCTTGGGTTCTGGATCAAGGATCAGAGGAAAGAGCACGAGGCGTGACGATAGATATTGCCACCAACAAGTTCGAGACTGAAAAAACAGCTTTCACTATTGTTGATGCACCGGGCCACCGTGACTTTGTGCCAAACATGATCGCTGGTGCCAGTCAAGCCGACTTTGCAGTTCTAGTCATCGACTCCAGTGTGGGCAAGTTCGAGTCCGGCTTGAAAGGTCAGACCAAGGAACACGCCCTATTAGTACGCAGCATGGGTACTCAGAAGATCGTGGTGGCTGTGAACAAAATGGATGCTGTGCAGTGGGATCATGGTCGTTTCGAAGAGATTGAGCAACAGATTTCTTCCTTCTTGACTACCGCAGGCTTCCAAGAGAAGAACATCGCTTTCGTGCCTTGCTCAGGTGTTCTCGGTGACAACATCGCTCGTCGCAGTGAAGATCCTCATGCCGCTTGGTACTCTGGTCGGACATTGATCGAGGAATTGGAAGATTCAGAGCCCTTCACCCACGCCCTTGAAAAGCCACTACGCATGACTATCAGCGACGTCTTCCGAGGCGGCGTGCAAAACCCCCTCTCCATTTCTGGCCGTCTTGACGCAGGCAGTTTGCAAGTGGGCGATCAAATCTTGACCATGCCCAGTGGTGAAACAGCCATGGTCCGGAGTATCGAGGTAGACAGTGACCCGAGTGACTGGGCTGTGGCAGGCCAAAATGTTGTTTTGAATATTGCCAACATCGATCCCATTCACCTTCGCTCCGGTGACGTTGTTTGCCGCCCTTCTTCTCCGATTCCTACAATCACTACCTTCACCACCAAGGTCCTAGCCTTTGAACATTTGATGCCTATGCAGGTGGATGTTCACCGTGGCCGCCTTCATGTCCCTGCCCGTATTAGCAAGCTGGTTGCTTCTCTAGACAAAGCATCAGGCGCGGCTATCAAGAAACGGCCCAAGATTGTGGCTCCTGGTACTGTTGCTCGAATTGTGGTGGAGATGGATCACGCTGTGCCACTGGAAGCACCAACGAGGATTGTTCTACGTTCAGGTGGATCAACAGTGGCTGCTGGGTTATTAGAGTAGGCAGTATCCGTCAAGAACGATGTTTTCTAAAAATACATTCCTGCATAAACTTAGTCTGCTCTACTTGGATATATATATCGTAGCTTGTAGCTTAGAGTTGGCAAACATGTAGTCGCCTATACGTGTATATTGTTTGTTATACCTAAATGTTTTCTAATCGAGGTATTGTGCAACATTGCGCTGTACAATGTTCACAGCATCTGGGGCGATCTATATGGACCCTGTGCCCTGTGCTACCCCCTGCTCGGCAGATCCCCGGCCTATTCTAGCCCTGTGAGCATGCTCTTCGATCTGTGAGATCTGTATAGCTGTTAACTTCTACCATGACTCAACTACATGTAAGCCTAAGTCTTGATATCTACGTGGCAAAAGCATTCGAGGCCAGATTATACCAGATACACCGTTAATGATCTAAACTTGACCAAACTTGAGCAAAGGGGCCATGTGTTTGGCCCCTTCTAGCAAGTTCGATCATTTGGCAGCTTCTGATTGGTGGAAATCAAAAGGAATCCCTGGGTGGCCCCTGCCGCTAGTCCTCTTTAGATTGTGTATTCCCCTAAGAGGAAGGCGGTAACAAGACAGGCGGACTCTGAGTCAGCCACTGCCGTACGAGTGGCAACCAATCAGAGCACGAGAAGTGACCTGAACTGGGAAAAGGCCAGCATGGCCGCTGGGCCATATTTCGCGTACAAGAAGTCCACCTCGATCTTCTTGCAACCATTCTTTCTTTCCCTCACATCGCCTCGGGTCCCTCTCCCGCTTACTTTAGAAAGGGTTGAGTACAACGCGTCTTTTGTGTTTACTCCGCGTCGCTGTATAGAACGGCACGCACGAAGCTTCGACCTCGACAGCTTCTCGATTGTGTGATTTGAAGAGCACTTTTCCCTTACACTTACATTATACCCCTTCACAATGGCACGAATCTCCGCACGCGACGGCGCGTCCAAGCCTTTTGCCTGGACCACCGTCTTCTACCTCCTCTTCGTCTTCCTCGCCCCCTTGGCCTTCTTTGGTAACACAGCTCACGCTCAGGAGGAGAACTCCCCTGAGAACTACGGCAATGTTATTGGTATTGATTTGGGAACCACCTACTCGTATGTATATTAGTGGAGGCGTGGCATTGAGAAAATGCTAACTTGCTACAGTTGTGTGGGTGTGATGCAGAACGGCAAGGTCGAGATTCTCGTCAACGACCAAGGAAACCGTATTACTCCCTCTTACGTCGCTTTCACCGATGAGGAGCGCCTCGTTGGTGACGCCGCCAAGAACCAATACGCCGCCAACCCCGAGCGCACTGTCTTCGACGTCAAGTAAGTTGCCACACTCGCTGACTGTTTTTCAATGCTAACAGACAGGCGTATGATCGGTCGCAAGTTTGATGACAAGGATATCCAGAAGGACATCAAGAACTACCCCTTCAAGGTTGTCAAGAAGGATGGCAAGCCCCAGGTCAAGGTCGACGTCAACCAGTCCCCCAAGACCTTCACCCCGGAGGAGATCTCCGCCATGGTTCTGGGTAAGATGAAGGAGATCGCTGAGGGCTACCTCGGCAAGACCGTTACCCACGCTGTTGTTACCGTTCCCGCCTACTTCAACGACGCCCAGCGTCAGGCCACCAAGGACGCCGGTACCATCGCCGGTCTCAACGTCCTCCGTGTTGTCAACGAGCCCACCGCCGCCGCTATCGCCTACGGTCTGGACAAGACCGGTGACGAGCGCCAGGTCATTGTCTACGATCTTGGTGGTGGTACTTTCGATGTTTCCCTCCTGTCGATTGACAACGGTGTCTTTGAGGTCTTGGCCACCGCTGGTGACACCCACCTTGGTGGTGAGGACTTTGACCACCGTGTCATGGATTACTTCGTTAAGCAGTACAACAAGAAGAACAACACCGATGTCAAGAAGGATCTCAAGGCTATGGGTAAGCTGAAGCGCGAGGTCGAGAAGGCCAAGCGTACTCTGTCTTCCCAGATGTCCACTCGCATTGAGATTGAGGCCTTCCACAACGGTGACGACTTCTCCGAGACCCTCACCCGGGCTAAGTTCGAGGAGCTCAACATGGATCTCTTCAAGAAGACCCTCAAGCCCGTTGAGCAGGTCCTCAAGGACGCCAAGGTCAAGAAGTCCGAGGTTGACGACATCGTTCTCGTCGGTGGCTCTACCCGTATTCCCAAGGTCCAGGCCCTCCTCGAGGAGTTCTTCGCCGGCAAGAAGGCTAGCAAGGGTATCAACCCCGATGAGGCTGTCGCTTTCGGTGCCGCCGTCCAGGGTGGTATTCTCTCCGGTGACGAGGAGATGGTCGACATGGTTCTCATGGATGTCAACCCCCTTACTCTCGGTATTGAGACCACTGGCGGTGTCATGACCAAGCTCATTCCCCGCAACACTGTCATCCCCACCCGCAAGTCGCAGATCTTCTCGACTGCCGCCGACAACCAGCCCACCGTCCTGATCCAGGTGTTCGAGGGTGAGCGCTCGATGACCAAGGACAACAACATGCTCGGCAAGTTCGAGCTGACCAACATCCCCCCCGCCCCCCGTGGTGTCCCCCAGATCGAGGTCGCCTTCGACCTCGACGCCAACGGAATCCTCAAGGTCAGCGCCAGCGACAAGGGCACCGGCAAGGCCGAGTCCATCACCATCACCAACGACAAGGGTCGTCTGTCCCAGGAGGAGATCGACCGCATGGTCCAGGAGGCCGAGCAGTACGCCGAGGAGGACAAGGCTATCAAGGGCAAGATCGAGGCCCGTAACGGCCTCGAGAACTACGCCTTCTCCCTGAAGAACCAGGTCAACGATGAGAACGGTCTCGGTGGCCAGATTGATGAGGATGACAAGCAGTCCATCCTCGACGCTGTCAAGGAGGTCAACGACTGGCTCGAGGACAACGCCGCCACTGCTACCATGGAGGACTTCGAGGAGCAGAAGGAGCAGCTCTCTAGTGTCGCTTACCCCATCACCAGCAAGCTCTACGGCTCTGCCGCTCCCAATGAGGATGATGACGAGCCCCTGGACCACGACGAACTGTAAAATTATCTTGAGGCATTATTCATGGAGTTCAATTTTTCTTCTCTTGCTTGAGTTTTTTGTCTTGATATCTGTTTAAGTAACCTGTAGACCTGGCTATGCCGGTCAAGAATACACCATGATACCTTGCATTGTTGAAAGTAGACAAGTAGATGTTCTATTAAGCCATTGTCTGGTGCAGAGGTTCGAGGACGTAGGTGACACCCTTTCGTCGAAGTGTATGCTAGAGACGACTGTGTGTTCTACATTTCGGTCTCGAGAGATTAATTAATTCCCTAACTGATTCCTAATTCTTTAATCTAACCATGCCAATCAACGATCTGATATATAAAAAATGACCACTCGTTAACGAGCCTTTATTCTTGTTAGTTAGGAACTCCATCTCGATAAGCATGCCTTCTACGTTGCTGGCCGTTGATTGTCTTTCTCACTTATTTATCCTCCCATACTACCAATCTCTCTTCTCCACAAACAATTGTTGTTTTTCGTGTTCAATTGATAGATAGAATCTAAGAATTTGTCAGTTTCATGCCGTAAATGACCGCTATTAAACCACTCCGCCATGGTGCTTGTATATTTATGAAATCTCAATATGGTGGACCTCGGGTCCCAATTTAGGGTCATCTCACACCGATACGGCAGCTTGGCCGAGTGGTCTAAGGCGCTAGACTGTATGTGTTCACCTCAAAATGCCCTTAAGTTCCTTAACTAACATGTAACAGTGAAATCTAGTCTCTTCGGAGGCGGGTGTTCGAACCACCCAGCTGTCGTTCTTTTTTTCTTTCCTTTTTTTTTTTTTTNTTTGCTTTTAAAGCCGCTTTCTTATGTAACCGGACTTGAAATAACTTAACTTAAACAATGTAAGATCGGCTGGATGTCGAGATCGAAAGCGGCAGCTGAGCTGGATAAGAATTAGTAGCAGTAGATTGCATGATTGTATGGTCGGTGCTGGTTATGAATCGTAAGCATCATGAGTAAAAGACGAAGGGAGGAAGATTATACATACACTCATGCATTTCATTGCCGTAATTCGCCGAATCTGTTGGCTAATGAATGGATCTCATGAGTAGACGCAGCTGTCGTGGGCCTCGATGTCGCAACGAACTGAAAAGTGAATCAACACCTGTATTATTATCAATGAATCGACAATTAATTTTGACGTAATGAGGCGATCGCTTTCTGAGGTAGCGCTTGCTGAAATGGCTCGAGAAGGAGAATCTGAGGTTGTATGAAGGTCCATCAAAGCCGTATGCATCGATCATGATATAACTGTGCTCAATGCGTATTGCATTGAAGCAATTCTTGTATAATATAAATGCAACGGATTCTGATCAATAGTGTTGTATAAGGTATTGAGCCAGGAATGAACAATTTTACTTGAATCATACTGTATCTCTGTTATAAGCTCTTTAGAACAGAAAAGCTCCCCATTCGACTGCAGTATATAATCAAAGCCATCACTGTCCCTCAGTCTATACATGTCCTCTGCTTTGCGGGGTCAAAGCACAGATCCACTCCCACACGGAGAATTGGCTCGGCGAAATAGCTTGTCTGTCTGCAGTATTACGGCTATGCAGATCCTAGTCCCGAGTTCAGAGCCAATAATAAACTCTATACTAACTGTATTTCTCCGAGTCTAGACAGGCTCTGTGTCCACATTGTCTGCTCGGGGCTGATCTAAAGAACGTTGGATTCTACCCCACTGGCCGGGTGCATCTTCATCAATCGCAAATTCTTGGTTTAGTCTGGATTGTAAATGCTACTGGGGCGACATGGTGATCTTCCCCGCTCTAGTTATTGTGATCCCAACTGACGTTATGTGTGTTTTCGGAGAATTGACGTGGTTGAAGTGGTCACAGGCCGCAGGCTATAGATATAAACGTAGTTCATTTGCAATCCATTTGTCTCCCAGATTGAATTAGCTCTCAACTACAAAACATCACTCTTCACAACGAAATACCAAACACCGAGAAAATGGGCTCCCCCGATATCCCACAGACCCAAACCGTCGCCCTGGTCAAAGAACTCGGAGGGCAAGTTGAATTCATAACAGATTATCCCGTACCAACACCAGGACCAAATGAAGTCCTAGCAAAGGTGTTATACACTGGCGTTTGCCAGAGTGGTAAGTCTTTCCCAAAGCCCCATGTTCCACCTCATATTCTTCATGTAATTCAAAGCTATATCAATACACTCCCACACTGACAACAATTCCTCCCTGCAGACCTCCACACAAAACAGGGAACAGCAGCAGGCCCAGACGGAACCCCAATTACAAAGATCAAACTCCCACACATCGGCGGCCACGAAGGAATAGGTCGAGTCATCGCCCTCGGTCCAGATATAACACATACATCAGACCTCAAGCTAGGCAGTCTCGTCGGCATCCGATTCGCAAGCCGGATCTGTCGACGCTGCGAATTTTGTCTTGCTGGTACGGAACAGTACTGTGTTGCTAGTACGAACCATTTGCATCACGAGGATGGCAGTTTTCAGCAGTATATTGCGCTTGATGCGGATTATTTGACGTTGCTTCCTGATGATGTTGATCCGAAAGTTATGGGCCCGGTTCTTTGTGCTGGTTTGACGGCGTATAAGGTATGTAACAAGAACCGGAGTGTGTTCGGGTTGAGGATGCGTGCTGAGTATCCGATAGGCAGTTTTGAACACGAATGTTCGGCCTGGAAATTGGGTTGTTGTTGTTGGGGCTGGTGGTGGGCTTGGGCATTTGGCTGGTGAGACTTGCTTTCCTGGATTAGTATTTGTGAGAGCGCTAACGGGTTCCAGTTCAATATGCTAGGGCCCAAGGCGCGTTGGTCATTGGTGTCGATACCGGGCCTGGCAAAGGGGACTTTGTGAAATCAATTGGCGCTCAGCATTTCATTGATTTCGCCACTGAGGACCCCGTCAAGAAGGTCAAAGAGGTTACTGGACTTGGTGCGCACGCTGCAGTTGTTACTGCAGGCAATGCAAAGGCTTTCGCTCATGCTTGCGATATGCTTCGCGTAGGAGGGACATTGAGCTGCGTGGGTATCCCACCCGGACGACCGTGTCTGGAGACTCCCATCTGTACTATCGTGATCAAGGGGCTTAGAATTACGGGTAACTTGGTCGGGTCACTGAAGGAGTGTATGGAGGCTGTGGATCTTGTGAGAAGGGGTGTTGTGAAGCCTGTTGTCAAGGTCCGGCAGTTTAAGGAGTTGCCGCAGGTATATGAAGAGATGGAAAGAGGGGATATTGCTGGTCGGATCGTTCTTCAAGTCACTGAATGATCACTCTCAGATGTTTAATTTTAGACAGTCTGCAATTCTTGCTGTGAGAAATTCAAACTGTTGGTCTCTAAGTCGCTTTGTTCGGCCACGTATGATCGATATCCACCAAGATGCGTCCGCTGGTCAGTCTCAGTTTCAAGCCCATACGGACCTGAGCTTCTTTCATTCATCGTCAGCAATCGAGCTGGGGCCATGACTAAAGCTTCGGCGGTCTTCGCTCGAAGGATACCCAGCAACATGCGATCCTGTTCAAGGAAAGGAACAATCTTCTGATATAATGCATGAAGGAAATCATGTGGTCCTAGTTCACGCCTGCTGCTCATCAAAGTCGATCTCAAGAGAACAGTGTCTGCTAGTGAATTGGCAACCTCGAAGCATTTAAGCAACTAGTCCCAATATAAGCAAGTGTCCGATACCCTCGACTGAACATCAACCCACCTGATCTCGACCCAATGGTAGCAAATCTGCCTCACGAAAGCCTCTCAAAGCTTGCAGCAGATCACGTCCAACTTGTGCAGGAAACCCAAAGGTCATAACAGAGGTATACCCCGCGGACGAAAGCAATCTCATCGCGAGAGCTTCCTGCCAGATTATCGTTCTCATCCACTCTCTCGTGACATGATAATCAGCCGATCGGGTAGAGGTATGATCGGCCATACTAAACGACAGGGAAGACAGCTTTTTTTCTGTCTCTGTCAGATCTGTGACCGCTATGGTACCTCCATGGGGCCTGCGGCGCATAGAGATTTTATCGAATGCAACGAATAGTCTGACTAGCTCCAGCAAGCCTTGCGCATGAACATCAGCTTCAATGCTACTTTCAATTCCCAGAATGGTTGGAGGCTCGGTATATGAGGGCGAGAGTCCCAAGTGTAACGAGTAGCCCCTGCTTTTCGATTAAAATATGGCTGTATAGTTGGAAACGCGATTGACTTACCTCTCCGAAACCCAGAGCAATGGAAAAAGCAAGTCTTGATTTGCAATCAGACCATCTTTCGGCTGTGGTAATCCTTCATCCAACCGCAGAATCCGAGAACCAGCTATAGCCTCCTGGATAAACATCATTGCTGAATTCCGCTGATTGACCTTGGCATGGTATACATGCAAAAAGAACGATATCAAGATACTGCGAAGGCACAGATTCTCACCATTACTGTCGTATTTCCTTCGCATTTGTAGACATGTATGTGCCATGGTTGTGGCATCGATTCTCTGGGATCCATCTCCATATCCATCTCCATCCATCATGGGCGCCATCTGCAACTGAGCCATTGTTGCAGCGCAGAGCGCTGTGGCCAGACACACGGTGTTTCCATCCTGTTCACCAATTGCTTCTGGCTTTATATTCTCAACTCTCTCAAGCAGGCTTTTGGCATGGATTACAGGCCAGACGCTGTACGAGCATTGCTGGTAAATATTGATGACTGTAGCCAGAATCGACTTCGGTATGCGCCGGAGACTGGGTGAATCACTAGAGAAACAGTACCTTCCAGTCTGCTCCTCAGCTATTGTGCTTATTTCGAGCTCTGGCTGGTCTTCCGGAACAGCAGACTGAGCTTCCACGTTAGAGTTCGCTGGCTTCCTAGCTTTCGGGCCTCTTCGGCCGGCAGGCCGAAGGTAGGTACAGCGAACCCACTTCACGGCAGTCCTGCATGTATCGCAGGGCCAGGAGCCGCTGCATTTGACTTTGCGCGAGATACAACTGTCGCAGGCTCGTTTTGGGGGCATGGGTGGCTGAGATTGTCATTTTGATGAAGTATGAAGTCCTCCGTGCGGGGATGTCGGACGTTGGCTGCAGAGGGGTAGTTTCGGCAGATTTGCCGATCTTGCATATCGGAGAATATGAGATGTTTTTCATGGAATATTGACAATGAGAGGAGAGCAACAAGATTTCATATGTGAGTCTCGGAAATGTATCTGTTCTATGTCAGGCAATGAACTTAACCTTGGAACAAAACCCAGTCTTTGAACCACAAACACTTATATCCCGGAAATTGGCAACACGGGAGTCATACCTCGACATACGTTAGAAGTGAGGTCTATGAAGCGGATATAACAATAGTCAAGTGGAGTATAGATCTATGCCGGGGAAGGTCCAGGCGATTGGACTACGTCATGATCTTCCCCACTCAGTTTCTGACCTTCCGCGATTCTCCAACTTCTTCTTTCTCTTATTCCTGACAAGAAAAAAGCTAGACGACGGCAATTTATACCTTCAATATGGCCCTCGCAGCTCCCAGCACGGACGTAAGTCCCCTGAAGTCCATCAACATTTCGAACAGCAAGCTAACCCCACCAGGCCCAAGTCCTGATCGCAGAAGAGTCAAGTCCAGAACAGACATTCCGAACCTTCACAACAGAAACAGCCTGGACTCTCGGCAATGCCCTCCGCACTCGAATCCTCTCTCTCCCCTCCAATCAGCGCAAACCGGCCCTGATTTCTATCGCATTGGCAACAGCAACATCCGGCGGCGTTCCGCTCCACGTGCTCTTCCAAAGCGCAACGGAGAGCGGTACCGTTCCCGATAATGAGAACTGGGTGCGACGTAAGCGCAACACCGTCTTGCGCTGGGGTGTTTCTAGCTGGGCAATGAGACAAAAGACAGTTGGTGGGCTTAGGCTGGTTACGGGCGCGTCAGCTGATCAGATTGAGGCGGCGTTCGTGAAGAAGTATGCTATTCCTAGTGCAAACGGGGGCGCCGTTGCTGATGAGTATGCTATCCATGGCGGCGGATATCCTATTCGTGTTAAGGGTGTTGAGGGCATCGTCGCTGTTGTTGTTGTCAGTGGGTTGAAACAAGAGGACGATCATCAGGTTGTTGCTGAGACTGTTCGGGATATCGTTGCCCAGCAGAACTAGATTGTAGGTAGGGAATACAAAATAAAATGAAGATAAAAGCAACGATGAACACAGACAAAGAGGAGCAAAGATGACCCAAAAAAGATGACAAAAAGAGCCGAAAGCCGAAAAGGAAGGCCTCTGGCCATCTAGATGAGCGACATAAAAGATAGCTTTCAGCCTTCTCTCTCACTTTTATCGAATCTCCATTTAACTTGCTTCATCCATTGAATCCACTTCTACGCTGAAAAATCCGAGTAAGAAGTGCAAGTTAACGTTACCTGACCAAGCTAACAATACTAGCAGTTAGTTTCCTCTTAACTGGAGAGCTATAGATTAGCAAGTATTTCAGCCTTAAATAGTCCTGCGCCTTAATAACTCGGCCAACGACTAAGGTATTTTATAAGCGAGCTGGCCACCCTAAAACACCATAGTAAATGGGACATCCGCAATTGCGCCCTTTCGTCTGCGGTGCCTACACAGGTGACGATATGGAGATAATCCCTGCTCAAGGCCGACTGAGAGGAACCAAGCAGTCGTATAAAGGACTCGATTCCAAAGGCAAAAACTAGGGGATTGCTAGCATTCCTGATGGCAAAAGACTGTTAATCTAGCGAAGCTCAAATGGACAACAAATTCAAGATGTGATGCAACGGCGTAGAATTGATTCTAGCGCCGGAAGTGATATGGCTAGCAGAGACAAATGACGACCATTAAAGGCCCGAACTACAGGGATAACTCCCCCCTACTCACCTCACTCCCTCCACTTGCCTGATATGATTAGGGCAGGACGTACTGTAATGACTGCTTTTCTTTTACCAATATCCACGACACAGGTAATGGGGACCTGTCTGCAGGCTCTAAATCTCGGTTCTCGAAATGGGTTTACATATAACACTGAGTGTGATAGAAACGTGCATGGATCATGCATTTGAATTCTCCTGATTAAGATCATCGGCCGTTCATACATCGCAACTTTTGATAAAAGATCAAACCTAGATTATTTACAAGACAAAACTATCCACCTATCCAAACTCATGACAAGTCCATAATAACGCCGTCGCAAAACCACAAATATTCAAAGCTCACAATTCAAGTCGCACAAAGCAGAAAGCCAGAACACCAGCGCTAAATGTCAAGCTGAAGACTCGAAGAAAAGAATCCAAAGACTAGGCATCGCGCAAAGGAATGTCTTCCCTAAAAACCGAGTGGGTGACTGTAACCTTGATGGAATTATCACTGGCGGAAGGCATGGCCTCGATGTCATTGGGTCTGCGAGCGTGTGGACTGGTGAGAGGCGTGGGCGTTGAGTGGATCTCGGTATTGGCGGTCTTCTTCATCCAGTGTGCGCGCATCCGATCGAGGGCTGTTTTGAAATCGTCGAGGATGACCGTGTCGCAGAGGCACTTGAAGATAAACGATAACTGTGAGGGGGTTTGTTAGATTGTGAAATAGGATTGGGTGAATAGATGGTTGATGGCACTTGGGCTTGACTTACCTTCCAGAAGGGTTCGACACCTGTCGGGAGAAGGCTGGAAAAGGCGTTGGTCACGCTGCAGGTATCGACGATGATAAAGATGATTGACAAGCACATTGCTAGGAGCATGATGCCCATACGGGGGCTGATTCTCACAAGTTCGTAGAGACCGAAGCTGTATTGGCGTTTGATGGTCCAGAACAGGTTGACTGTGGTGAATACCCACCAAGGATCGCTGCAGATCAATTTTGTCAGTAAATTCATCCAAAGTGGCAGAGAGGATAGGATAACAAACCGGAACAGCGGCTCCAAAGGCCTCGTCTTCAGGAACAACTTATTGATATTGTTGAAGTACGTAAAGTTGGCGTAAATCTCTAAACCCCAGTATGGCCAGCACAGGATAACAGTAACGATGTAGAAGATCGAAACCTTCCGCGAGAGAAAAGCCTTGCACTTCATCCACGCGATGACATTGTGCAATGCCCAAGAGATATTCAAACCGATAGCCGTGACGGACAGGTACCAACCATAAACCGGCTCGTGGGGGAAGATAAAGGTTCCATGGCCCATGGCCAGAATGAGCTATATCAGACATAAAGATCAGCATAAGAACTCTGGGGCTCGGGTAGAAGCGCATACCTCGGCAAAGATCAGCTTGTGCAAGAGAATGTGCTTCTTCATATTAGCAACCGTGATGGCCGCCATGATCAGCAAACTACCAACCATCAGGCCTTGGCCCCATGCCTCCAGAATGAGAGCATCGGGATCGGTAGGCTTGACGATGCGGTCGTCGGCCATGGTGGCTGATATCGAGATCGATACCGGGGAAAAGAGAATGCGCCAACCGCTTTGCGATGATTGGTGTTGAGGAGAGGCGGAAACGGGGAAATGGAAGAGCCCAACTGGTTTATGACCTGAGAATTGTCAAACGCGCCGAGTCATCTCAGACATACCACATCATGCGCGCGACTTGAAAAGTGCCGTGAATCGTAAGCTGGGGGATTTGTTAGTCTTATGTGACTTTACCTAAGAGAACCTCTAGGGTCGCCTAAGGTTGCCGTTCTACAGGGGTGTCAAGTGGGGATTTTGCCTTGACTTTTTGACTACGCATTGAAGTCGCGTAAATGTGGCTTTGTGGGAGTTTCCTTTTGGGGCCATTGTGTGCACTATGGTAGTTTCTTGCCAGTGGGAATATTTGACCCCAACTCTTGGGAGAAATGGCATACTCGAGCAACCTGTGTTTCAGGCCAATTTCCTCGTGTGAAACATACAAAGGATACGTTTCTATCTTTGCCCACAAAGGACTTGACAAAGAACCTGTATGTTTCCCACATGGCCAAAGAATGGAAGGTAGAAGTATCCCCTAAAAATTTGAGGCTTTTATTGTTTCCGGGGTCTCCACACTGTACACGAGGCCCATGCAGGTCGGGGTCAGGGGCAAACGGCCCGAGTCTACAAAAGGTTAAGGGCGTTTCAAATTTCACTTATGTGGCGTTAAACTGCTCGTGTGCTTCCCCTCAATTTCCTAGGTTGCGGCGTTTATGTTGCATGGGCATCTTTGAACGTCCCTCTTCAATGCGAACTATATTCCTGTTAAAACAGGGTTAGTATAAAGAAAATTAGTATCTCTAGTTCGCTTTTCTACTCCAACACTCAGCATGCTTTCCAACCCCGCTTTTTCTCTCCCAAGCGCAACTAAATTGCTCCCGTCACTAAGGACCACGTCAACAATTCAATGCTACCTTCCACCTGTTCTTTTCTGCCTACCCAATCTTCCAAGGTAGACATTGACCAGGTTGGCTTTTCCCTACATTAATACAGCGAGACGAATTTAGGATCAATGGTCACCAAACTTTGGAGGTTCTATATATAGAAGGCATACTTTGCCTAGTTTTTCCATCCTTGGCAAAAGCTCCCTGCTAAACCATTAACTTACCCGTGAGGCATCCGCAACGCAGAAGGAGAGAGATGTTGTTCTTCTTCCCGGGAAGGACTAAAGTCGGCGCTTTTGCTTTGCAAGAACTCGTGAGCTTTTGTGATTAATCGCAATGCCTTCTCAACACCAGGGGAAACACTGGACCCATGGATAGCCATCCATCGTTGTAGAAGTTGCTCTAGGCGAGGCCCTAGCTCCAACAAGGCAATATGACGAAGCTGAATTGTCAGCTGTGGATGGCAGAAGCCACCCATGAGGGTCAACATCGCCGTCGCAAGTGAAAGGGAACACGTCCATGTATCGACCATGACAGTATATGGCAATTGTTTCAAATTCCTCAGTTTAAATAGACAAGTATCGAGCGCAACTCGACACCCATCGAGCACACGTGGATTGTTGTTGAGATTCCATAATGGATTAGCCAGCGCCCATTCTAGAAATGGTCGGTAGATGACACTTCGACAACTGAGATACCACTGCCGTAGGTACTCGCTGTGCGGGTCATCCGCAGGCTTTCCGTCTTCTGGAAACTGCAGATTTGAAGGCAGGGTTTGATACCAGTCTTGTAGTTGGCGTGCCAGTTCTTGGTTTACCGAAGAGAAACTATTGGAGTCGATCTGGAGGCCGATGTTGCGGTCATACAGCATGTAATGGACTCGGTTGAGGAGGCGGCGTAGTGATATTGATGCGAGGAAGTAGAATGTCGATTTTTCTTCCTCTTCGATTGTTTCGTGTGAGTGGAATTTGCCTGGAAGAGAAATTATTGATTCGATTTCGGCATTGCAGTTTTGCGGAAGAGTTGGTAACTCGGAAATATAGTTGCTGCTGCCAGTCAGCTAGTGGTGAGTGCAATGGTGTCGTCTCTTCTGCCCACCTTTCTAGTACAAAGCAGGACCAGAATATTCGGGTGATGTGCTCTCGGTCATCACGCTCTGGGTTGTCAAAAGGGCAAGAGAGAAGGAACCGGCAACGAGTTGCTGCGCTGTTTACATAAGACCATGTTTGCAGTGGTCTTTGTAAAAAGGAGAAGTAAAAGCTAGTAATTCGTCAGTTCCATGGCAGCTGGTTGTTTAGCGCGCAAGAATATTGTCATACCCAGTCAGTAAGAGACATTGGCAAGCTTCCACACTCATTTCGATGTGTGCCAAATGTAGCATCTTCATTGCAGCAGTAAACCATGATGCACCTTGCAGCTTTAATTGCTGAGACTCGTGTTCAGAGCAGTCTCCTTCATCTATAACGGAAGCCCCAACGCAGCCCAAAGCCATGACCAACAAAGCCAGACATGATTGGCAATTAGGTTCCAGATTCTCTTGGTATATCCTCATTTCCAAGGACTTCAAATCGTTGAAGCTCATTGTAGGGAACCAGAAATTATACGTCTGTTGGAAGATACCCACCATCCTCTTGATTTCTGACAAACCCAAGCTGGGGAATATTGCATAGACTTTGCTTTGAAAGGATGGTCGTCCGTATTCAAGGGACAAAAATGGAGTCTCTGTCTCCCTTAATATCGAAGGATGATCAAGAAAGACTGACCACTTTAGAAGAGACTCCGCTGAGGAAAGATGTCCAGACGAGAGCACAGCACTTTCAGTCGGGTCCCTAATAGTGCACCCGCCTGGATGATGGCATGCATCCTGAGATCTCGAGGTAATTGTTGAAACTGGAGATGTTGTATTGGCCTGGATGCCATCTCTGACATTTGAATTGGAGCCCATAGCCTGGTATATATCATTAGCTCACAAGAAATGGCCTTTGTTGGCTTGTTACGTACGACCATACTTCTAAGTTCTTCGATGGAAGCTTCCATTCGCAAAACCGTATCCAGGATCATTTCGCTTTTCCCTCTTCTACTCGGACGTTAATTGCTGTTTCTTAAAATAGAGTGATCCTACTTACGAAATAGCTTCCGTTCCGTATAGACATGTTTGGTTCAAGCTTGTACAGGGCCCGCAGGGATCTCGAGCGTCACATCTGTTAGGTCTGTTAGTCGCAATGTACCGAAGACCCGCATAATATATGATTACCTTGTCTTGCGTTGGCGGCATGAGTCGCACTATGGATTGCATTAGTCTTAATCTTCGATCCGACTTATTAGGCCTCCGCTAGAAGAGAGAATTGGAGACAGACCGCTCGAGCCGCCCTGAATCTCTTCATTTCGAGCCGGGATATTCTCTTTAAAGCCTTGCTCGGATTCAACAATGAACTCCTTTTAGCAAATTTATTGATCAAAGGCGCAGAATGCGGAGAAGATACGGAAAGCTTGACTTTGATGTAGGTTGCTCACTGGGCGAGGTCGCCAAGACAGCCCCGGAGTCGCGACAGTATAGCCGAGTGGTTTGGCGGAGTCACGTGACCACCCAGGCCTATATAGACTGTCCTGTCGACCAGGGAGTCGGAAGACATTTGAAGGATATCAAAGAATACCAGAGACAGATAGGAAACCAAAAGAGATACACCTTTGTAGCGCAATATACATAGAAGCGATGCACCAACTATAAGCTGAATACTTTATAGAGTAGAGAAAGCTTGTCAAGTTATACATATCATGACTAGCATTATGTATTTATATTTACATACTAGGGCTATTCTAAGCCTAAGCCACATGTTGTCTTGTATCATACTTGGCGAATTGCCTTGCCGAAACTTTCTGCTCAAACATATGATCCAACTCCTCAAAGGTTCTACCTTTGGTCTCTGGCAAACAGAAGTAAGTCCAGATAGAAGCAATAACCGAAAAGGCAAAAAAGATAAAGCCAGTCTTGCCGCGAAGGTCACCTTCATCAGGGTTGATCATGTAAGGCACGGTGATGGTCATAATTAAGGTCCAAAAGTTCTGCGTGAAGAAGCCAATGCTCACGCCGTACGAACGCAAGCGAGTTGAAGACATCTCTCCGCAGATAACATATCCAAGAGGTCCGAGGGTGAGATCATAGAAGAAGTTCCAGATAATGATCAAAACGCACTGTCCCCATGCAGTCGAGGAGTTATAGTTCGGTACAATGTCAAGGATGCCGATGATGAATACAATCACGGTGAGAATCACCATACCGGGGAAGAGGACTCTGCGGCCGATGGTGTTGATCACGAACCAGGAACAGATGTTTCCGACAACACCAACTGCAGTTACGCCAACGCCCATGTCGAACGATCGTGATGTAGGGAGGCCGGCGACTAGAGTTGAAATATTCGTTAACAAACCGAAATGACTCGTGAATCGAGGGATACTTACTTTGGAAGAAGTAAGTGGAGTAGCTAAGCACAAAGTTGACACCACTGAAAGAGTTGATAGTCCAAACGGCGATGACAATCATTGTTCGACGGAGGTCAGTTCCTCGGAAACAATCCAAATAGCCAACGGACTTCGCCGATTCTTCTTCCATGCGGACTGTTTCTTGGATCTCAACGAGCCAGTGATCAACGCTTCCGCTAGTCTGGAATCGTTCGAGAGACCGTTTGGCCTCAGCATGCCTGCCTCTTTGAACGTACCAATAGGGGGATTCGGGGCAGAACCACACTCCACAGAGAAGAACCGCCGGGAAAAACCACTGGAAAGCAAAGGGGATTCTGTACGCAAAATTATCTGTCCGTGCGCCGAATGCCTTGATGAGGCAGTTTCCGAGGAGTTGGCCGATGACAACAAACAGATTAACCATGGCAATGGAGATTCCCCGCAGCACGACAGGGCAAGCTTCAGAGCAGTAGGCACAAGCCGTGACGAGGAACATGCCGAGCGAGATACCGTTAATCAACTTTCCGGCGAGGAGCACTCCCGGAGTAAAAGCAAAGAACTGCAAGAAGATGGAGCCGCTGGAGATGACGCAGGCGATAGTCAAACTCATCTTTCGGCCTGCGTAGGGCGAGATAGGACCACAGAGCAGACTTCCTATCATTCCACCAATTGTCGCAACCATGTTGAAGGCTGCTTGCCATCTAGCTGGAAGGATCGTCGTGCCGTCAGGTTGAGTGTATCCAAACACGGCGCGGAACTCTGGAGCGGCAAGAAGGCCTCCACTGACTTGCATGTCGTATCCCCAGAGGATAGCGGAGAAACAGAAGAACAAACAGTATAGCATGGCCTTTCGGTAATTGCTGAGTGCCTCCTTCAGGCTCATATCATGTGAGAAGGTCTGATCGGGGTACTCAGGCTTCTTGATATCGGCGGGGTCCATCGGGCCCGGAGTAGCCTCGACATGGACACTGTCGACAGACTTGTCTTTATCCAGATCCATGATGGAAGAGGAACAAAAGAAGAAGAAAGTAAACAAGACTATCCAAGGTATGAATGAAAAGAGAAATGAGCGAGACGATGAAACCTGCTCAGGTGGGGAGTTTCGTAGGTTTAATACTCTTCACAAAGCGTGTCTCTGCTACCTTCGCATTCTTCCCCGACTTCGGGTATGGATTCTCGCCCCTGATCATGCTATACTCACAATCCGGGGAAGCTAGCCGATCCGAGGCGGGGCTAGCTGCTGGCAAGTGCTGGCAAGTTGGAAGTTTGCAGGCGGAAGTATAGAATTGGACGAGACGACAGTTTGAAGACAATAACGAGCCCCGATACACCAATTTAGCTCCACGCGACGGTCATTAAACATTGTGGCAGAGTTTGGCGAAAGTAAAAAAACGCCAAATCTTCCCCGGCTCCAGTAGCCCCGGTGCCGATAGCCCCGGCGAGTGTCTATTGGATCAGAGGAATTCCGAGGTCTCCATTCTCACCTCCGCAACATAACCCCCACAGAATGATACAACAAGATGTGAGATAATATCGGAGGGGTAGCGCGGTGAAAAGATCCCACGTCCCAATATACCCCAGTCCACCCCTCCGGTATAAAGGACATGACAGGGAACGTCCTAGACGACCAAAGACCCTCAATTCATTGCCTACGCAGTTGAAGCATCATGAGCTCTCCACAGACCCAGGAACTGTCACTGCAGGCCGATCCCGAAAGGCCCGATTTCATGAACCCCGCGGTTTTTCGCAGAAATACCCTCCCGGCGCGTTCTTATCATATCCCCTCGACATGTCTACTTCTCAATGGAGCTTGGGAGTTCAACATGTGCCGGTCACCAGGGGAAGCCCCCGAGCCTAACGAGCAGACCTCCGGCGAGGACTGGTCCAGCATCAATGTCCCAGGCCATTGGCAGCTGCAGGGCTGGGGAAAGCCGAACTATACCAACACACAATTCCCTATTCCAGTGTGCCCTCCTTTCGTACCTACCGAGAATCCCACGGGTACATATCGGCGGAAGTTTCAGGTACCTGCCGAGTGGCAAGCTGATACCACAGATATTCGGTTGCGCTTCGACGGCGTCGACAGTGCATACCACGTCTGGGTGAACGGTTCCTTGGTCGGGTACGCGCAAGGCAGCAGAAACCCATCTGAATTTGATGTCACTCCATATTTGCGGGCACATGGCGATAATGAAGTCTTTGTCAGAGTGTATCAGTGGTCAGATGCCACGTATATTGAAGATCAGGATCAGTGGTGGCTATCTGGTAAGCTCTAAATTATGATAAGCGACAGTGAAAATTAACCATTTGCTAACTCCATGGTAATAGGTATTTTCCGAGATGTCACTTTGATTGCGTTACCAGCCGACCGGTTGAATGACTGGTTTATACGTACGGACCTCGATCAAGAATACAAAAATGCGACACTTCTCGCAGCAATTGACTACCAAGTTTCAGAGCGAAGCACCATTGCAATTAATTTGATCGAGTCAGTTGAGAGCAGCGCTCAAATCATTGCTTCTACGGAGAGCAGCATAGAGCCAGCAACATCCGTAGTTGAACTCAGCTTGCCTGTGCCCAACCCCAAGAAATGGACTGCCGAGCAGCCCTATCTATACGAAGTGGAGATGCTTTTGACAACATCCGGTTCCAACAAGGCATTCAAGACCACACAGCGTATTGGCTTCCGCAAAGTCGAGCGTAAGGGTGGCCTCATCACCGTCAACGGCATTGCCATTCGGCTTCGTGGAGTCAACCGACACGACCACCATCCACTCTTCGGCCGTGCCGTGCCACTGGACTTCATGAGGCAAGATCTGCTTCTCATGAAAGCCCACAATATCAATGCGCTTCGTTGCAGCCACTATCCACCCGACCCTCGGCTTCTTGACATGGCCGATGAGCTAGGCTTTTGGGTCATCGACGAAGCTGATCTCGAATGTCACGGCTTCTATGACGCTGTCGCCCGGCCAATGGACATGGACGAAACGCTTGGCTACGAGGAGCGAAAAGCCATGACTTTCCCCCTGTGCGGTGTTCATACATCAGACAACCCCGTCTGGCGAGCCGCCTACATTGATCGAGTTCATTCACTGCTGCAACGAGACAAGAATCATACGAGTGTCATTATCTGGTCTATGGGCAATGAGGCTTTCTTTGGCACATGTCACCGCTCCATGGTGGAGTATGCTCGCAGCTTCGACGGCACTCGTCTGGTCCACTACGAGGGTGATATTCATGCGGAAACCACAGACATGTACAGCTATATGTATCCTGAAATCGACCGGCTACGATCCTTGGCAGTCACCGAGGGGGCTACAAATGGGGAATTCGACAAGCCTATCATCCTTTGTGAATACGCTCATGCCATGGGCAACGGACCTGGCCTGCTTGCCGATTATGAGAAGTGCTTCGACGAAATCCCGCGCTTGCAGGGTGGTTTCATATGGGAATGGGCCAATCACGGGCTTTATGTTGGAGAAACCAACAAGAAAGATGGCTTCTATGCCTATGGCGGCGATTTCGATGACTATCCAAACGATGGAACGTTCGTGATGGATGGTCTCTTGAATAGTGCCCACCAGCCTCTGCCAGGTCTGTTGGAGCTGAAGAGAGCCTTTGAGCCGGTCAAGTTGGAAGTCCGTGGACAGACATTGCTGCTGAAAAACCGGTACGACTTCCTGGATCTGAGCAATCTTCAAGCCTGTTACAAGCTTGAAGCTTTTGACAAACAGTGAGTTCATAACCGTCAACCAAGCAAATTGGAGAGACCTAACCTTTCAACCCAGAGTAAAAGTCTTGGCAACTGGAATACTGGAGCTGCCCATTGTGCCCGCCGGGCATTCTGCAGAACTTCCTCTGCCGACAGAGCTATTCCAGCATGAAACCCATCCAGCCTACTTGACCATTACACTTGAGCAACGTGAAAAGGTAGAATGGAGTCAAGACCCTTATGCGGTGGCCTGGACGCAAGCCTTGGTATCAAAGCCAACCGAAAAAGCGATAGTAAATGGCATGAGCTCCGCACAAGGTATCGAGAATGGCATCTCAACGAACGTTACTAAGACAACCGTGTCTGTCAGTGGAGCCAACTGGTCCTTCCAATTCGATCGCATCCGAGGCCATCTCAGAAAGTGGACATACAACTCGACCTGTATCCTCAAGCCGGATGCCGACACCGGGCTCGCCATGATACCTGGTTTCTGGCGCCCTCCAACAGACAACGACGTACCATCCGCAGCGCCATATTGGAAGCGATTCGGGGTGCATACTCTCACGAACCAGCTCCATTCGTTGAACGTGTCTTCAGCAGAGGATGGTAGTGTCAGCGTCGACAGCGAGACATTCCTATCCCCACCAGTCCTGTCCTGGGGATGGAAATGCGTGGCACGCTATATAATCAAGCCCAACGGTTCTTTGACAACCACTATAACACTGCAACCTACCGGAACTGCACCTAAAACCGTTCCGCGAGTTGGTCTCAATCTCCGCGCGAACTCTGCTCTGCAGTCTGCTCGTTGGCTGGGGCTTGGTCCTGGAGAGTCCTATCCGGATAAAAAGGCTGCTCAGAAGTTCGGTCTGTGGAATGCTGAAGATATCGCCTCGCTACAGACGGTTTATGATATTCCACAGGAGAATGGAAACCGCACGGATACAGCTTGGGTTGAGCTTGTTACTACAAATGGCACGGGTTTCCGCGCTTCCCCTATGGGAAGTACAGTTGTGAATGGAGGAACGGTGAGCTTGAGCTGGACGGCTAGTCGGTACTCTGATCAGTCTGTTGAGGCGGCGCGGCATCCTTGTGATCTTGTCGAAGAGGATGCGGTATTGGTGAGACTGGATGATCAGGTTGCGGGTGTTGGAAGTGCGGCGTGCGGTCCTGGCCCAATGGACGAGCATTTGATCAAGGTGAAGGATATCACCTTTGGTATGTTATTGGAGCCTGTATCTTCGTGAAACGTAGGAAGTTTGAAGTTGTAGTAAGCATCAACCTCGTGAATACCGATATTGCTCACATGGTAAAACACCTTACTGTAACTCCAGAAACAACGAGTAGCATAACTCCAAGATATCTGTTTCAAGTAGATGCTTTCTGCATATGTTCGCTCGCTCAAAGCATGTCTCACATCCCGAGGGATTGCGGGGGCATAGAGGTCCATTAGACTCTCAATGGTATCTTTATGCAAGCCGCCGTGGCTAGGACCAACATCGCCCGCCACCGTTTGGAGCTGCCAGAGGGGTTGTATTGTAAATGATGAAAGGAAGGAATAGAAAAGAATCTGGGCTTGTGGTTCCCTTTTATAGTATCATTTTATTTCTTAGCCTCTTTTCTGACCTCTTTCCTAAAAGAGCTCGTGTAAACAAAGTAGTACATAACCACTGATCTAAAACACATACAACATGCACTATCCTGATTCACCGATCTACAGATATATATTCACTACACTAGCTTGAAAAGATGATATATCGATTTTATGAATGTACACATCTCAACCACGCCAAGGTACAAACCAAAACCAAAAATCTAATAGTCCATAGACTCCTCAAGTAACTTCCTCAATTCACCCTTCTCAGCCTGTAGCTCTTCACTGAGATTAGGCGCCAACATCAGAACCCGCTTTTGAGGCAATGTCCCTTCAACCAGGCCATCAATATCTGAAGCCTTATAGCCCAGATCCTTCAGTCCACGAGGCTGATCACCAAGCTTGACAAGGAACTCTGCAATGGCGTTTCCAAGGACCTCACCGGCACTCTCGCGCTTTACATTCGAGATATCAACGCCGAATGCTTCAGCGGCGGCAAGATGACGGTCAGGATTTGACGCAGCGGTAAAGCGGAAGACTGCGGGGGCGGTAACGGCAACGGAAACGCCGTGTGGGATGATTGGGTGGTCCACATCATATCCGGCGTGCTTGTATCCGGGGTTCTGTGAGCTGATTCCGTATGAGAGACCGTGGCATAGATGGACTCCTGCGTTGCCGAATCCCACACCGGCCAATGTAGCAGCGAGCAGCATGTTTGACTGCGCTTCGTGGTCATCGGGATCGCGCACTGCACGTGGGAGGAACTGGGCTGTACTCCGTAGCGCTTGCAGGGAGAAGATATCAGAGATAGGGTTTGCGCCTTGGTAGGCCGGGCGGTTGATTGGGTTCGTGGGACGGGGCGTGCGCTCGTTGTATGGGATGGCAGTCCAGGACTCGAGTGAGTGGCAGAGCACGTCAAGTCCGGACGAGGCATGCACAGCTGAGGGCATGGTGCGGGTGTTCAGAGGGTCACAGATTCCCAATGTGGGCTTCAGGTTGCGGTGGGCAATACCAGTCTTGGCCTTTTTGGAGACCAGGTCGAAGATGGCAGTGCCGGTTGTTTCTGAGCCTGTTCCTGCTGTTGTGGGCACGGCGACGAGTGGGAGCAGTGGCTTATCAACGGGGAGGCCCTTGCCCAAGGGTGCATTAACAAAGTCGAGGAAGTCGGCTTCGGGGTAGGCGTTATACAAGTTCATCAATTTGGCCGTGTCAATGACAGAGCCACCACCTATTCTGTTAGATTTGTTTACTGTGGAGATACCGGAAACATACCAACAGCTAAGAAAGCATCAGGCTTATAGGGCTTGACAAAAGCAATAGCCTCTTTCACGCTATACCCACAGTCAGCCTTGGATCCACCAAAAAGAAAGAAATAACCTACGAACTATCCTTCGGCTCAATGCGGACCTTGTCAAAGACCGTGAACTCTATACCCTCCTTGGTCAACCCCTCAATAGCCTGCTTCATAGCATCAAGCTTCGCCACATTCGAATCAGTAACAATGCAAACGCGCTTCGCACCCATATTCGCAAAATCCATGCCAACCTCCTTCGTCGCGCCAGGCCCGAAGCGGATACTCGATGCCGCCATTTCAAAGGCATACTCTTTCTCACGCGATCGGTCAATTGGCGTGGCTAGGTGGCGCTTTACATGGTTGAGGAGGGCGGGGGTTTTGTGGTGGTGATGGTGCGCGGGATTGCCATGACAGGGACAGTTTGGAGGGTGCGTATATTGCACTGTGCGAAGGAGGTTAAGCGCGCGGTTTGCTGCGCTGGGCGCGACTCGGATTGCTGGTGATACCATGATTGTTTGGAGGGAGAAGGCGGGATTGAAGGGTCGAGTAGGTTGAAGTAGGAGAAAGCGAGGTGGGGAGTTGGGGAATGCGGGGATCGGACTTGTGGCCGAGTGACACAGGTGACCTTTTGATTAGGTTAGCTGCGATTGCCGACTTGAGGTTATCTGAGCCTCTAACGTTAATTGTGCTTTGTTATTCGGTTATAGATCTCCAGTTTCTCCATTTTGGAGAAACTCTGGGGAATGTGAACAGCCGAGGTCCATGTTGATCATGACATCAATTACTAACACGCAATGAATAGAGTCAACATTGAATTGGCGATTAATTACTAACCAAACTATATATTTTCTCTCCATTATCCCATCCAGACAATACCCTAACAAAGCGACAGTACCAAATTCGTATCAGCAGAAGTAACCCTAACCTGACTCCCAGCACTAGGAACACCATCCGGCCAAGAGATCCTCGGCTCAGCAGGCGAAAGACTAACAGGATATCCCTCGAACGGATCTCCAAAAACATCACTAAGATCATACCAGACCTTGCCCTCTGTGAGATCCGAAAGGTTATATGCAAACACCATCTGCGGCGCACTGGTATACAGCCCGTCGACGTCTGTACTGATCTTGATCGCTATACCGCCTGTGTTTTTCTCTTCGCGGAACAACTCGCTGTAGTAGCCGTTTGGGAGGAGAGTTTTCTCCGGTCGGGCTGTTGTTCCGACGGACCAGAGGTAGATTGGAAAGTCGCAGTTGTTTTTTATAATTGCGTGACCGTGGGGGCGACGGCTGGGGGTTGGACTAGGGGTTGGACTAGGGGTTGATTTGGCGCTTATTGGTATTATGAAGGCGCCATCCGGGATTGGGGCGCGGTGAATGAGGTTGTTGTTGTTGGTGGTGGTTCTTATGGTTCTTGTTGGATGGGCGAGGGTGAGGGCTGCTAGGGAAGGGAGGATGGTTGGGAGGTACATCTTGAGTAATATGATGATGTTCTTCTTGGGGGTCTTTTCCTTTTTTTTTGGCTGGCTCTGGATAATAGGATTGACTGTCGGTTTTATAGATCCTCTTTCCCTCACAGTCGTGTCATTCCATTCACTGTTTTGCCCACTCTGAATCCCTAGAATGTGACATCCTCACGGGGAACTACATATCCATCAGGGCATTTAAATCCTGCACCAGGGAAAGTCAAGCCACAATAAGCCATACAATACATAGAAAATGAAGGGATATCAAGGTACCACACTGTCGCCGTGTACCATCGGTGTTTGACACATATGTATGCGGAACCACTGGGAGAATGTTACCTTTTCCCTCCTTCGTGTATACAGCCACACAATTCCTATTTACAATTCCTATTTACAATTCCTATTTACAATTCCTATTTACAATTCCTATTTACAATTCCTATTTACAATTCCTATTTACAATTCCTATTTACAATTCCTATTTACAATTCCTATTTATAATTCCTCGGAATCCCAAGTTTCCGCGGGGAGGAATGTTCCTTTGATCTTAGATCGGATTTGGAGTAGCTGGGGAAAAGCCCATCGGATACTTAACCCATGGATATCTGAAGAATGAGATCGATGCACTTGGGTAAAAATACAAAGGAAATTTGCCTGCAAATCGAGAGTAGCAATTAGACTTGTTAGATTTAATGATTTATCACTAAGCATTCCAGGGCCAGACTAATCCAAGACGATATTCATGCCCGCGGGAAGGAAGAATAGTAATAGGGGATCCAGCACAATCTAGAACCAAGAAGGTTAATTTGGACGATTAATATCAGTCTACCAGTGTCGAGCCGCGCCGTCAAAACCCTCTTTTCCTCATAATGTGACTTCCAGTAAATATCAGTAGGTAGCTGTAGCAACTAGGGTCCAAGAATGTGAACTCCTGACAGGCAAGTTCTAGCCCTGACCCTCCCCGCAGACTCAAATTCCACGGAGAATTCTTTGATTTGGAACTGGTCTGGAATGTTAAATCAAACAATTGAACATTCACTGCCGTTGCCGGCCATGGGATAGTACGGATTTGGGTTCTTCATTAAATTTGCACGAATAACATGGCTGTAGAAGTACTGTACATGCATCTACTGCAGGGTTATTAATCCAAGATCCAAAATATCAGAAACTATCGCCGTATTATAACCCCTTCTTATCCTCCTTCGTAAAACGGGAGCATTACCTTGCACAGAAACAGAGATATCCATGTGAGACTCAGAAAGTCAGTTGCTCATTGACATGTTTGATTAATTTTCACTAGACCGTAGTACCAAATCAACGGCTCTGCGGACTGTCCTCAAATTTACAGTAAGTTTGATAAGCAGTGATACTGTGCCTGTCACACCATCGTGGGTGAGACGGCAAAGCCTGAAATATCGTCGTGTTTCAGGGGTGTGTCGGATTCACCGAAAGAAGTAGCGATTTACAATGCTTTGATCTCATCTAATCTGGTTTATTGATTAAATTGTATCCGACAATCGCGCGTTGTATGAACAGATTCTATAATAAATATGTACAAGCGAAACTAATATGAAACAGGCAAAAAATGTACATCCATGTATCTTTTCCATGGAATGGAATATATGCGAAGAAAAGAATCTAGCAGCTGTCAATGAATGATGTTTCATCCGTTGCACCCGCTTAGAAGGTAACAAACTCGGAAGTACCGAGGACGTTATCACCCTGCTGAGCGACAACCTGAATGTACTCTTCAGTGGGAATTGACACCGTGACAGAAGTCTCGAAGCCAGCGCGGTCCGCAGAACCGATCTTGGTGTTTGTGCTGGAGGTAGTGTTGTCAGAAGCAGAGTAAACAACCCAGTTGTCATACTCGGTAGCACCATTCCAGCTCATGTACACAGTGATATTAGAGTCAGTCTTGGAGACGACAACAGAAGGGTTCCAGAAAGGGGTGGCAGCCCATTGGCAGCGGAAACCACGGTAAGAAGCAACAGCGTTATCATCGCCGAATTGAGCGCTGAAAACGACGTTGCCGTCACCGTCGAACTCCTTGACCTTGGAGATGGAACCGTAGCCCATGAAGACGTGGCTGTCGACCTCGTCGAGGAGCTGGTAGCTTCCCTGGCTGACGGAGTGGATGGGGTCGTTGGGGTCGGTGAGTGAGCGGAGACCGGTGACAGTCTTCTTGGTCAGGTCGATAGCCATGCTGAGACCTGTGGTCTCGGACTCTTGATCGGTGGGAGTGTTGGCGTTGTTGAACAGGTTCACAATGAGACCTGAGTCGGTCTCGTTGTAAACACGGATATCATGCTGCCAAGAGAATCGTGGGTTGTTGATTTGTTTGAAATCTCCGCCGTCCTCGCCGTCGACGGTCCACATCACGCTGCCGTTTTGGGCAAGGTAATAGCCGGACCACATGTGGCGCAGGGAAATCATGTAGCCGTGGTTGGTAGGGGCGATAGCGTTAATGTGGTACGCGTCGTAGGGGTCAGACTGCTGCGTGCCAACGTCCTTGCCAAGACCCTGGTGGGAGGTAGTAAGAGGAATCTGGTCCTCGTGGTCGAGGGCACTCCATGAGTAGAGAACCTGGTTGGTCTTGATATCGATCTCGTGGAACTGGCTGTCCAACATATAAGAAGAGGAAGTCCCGTTGATTGATGTCAAGTCGTGCTGAGTGACATTGTAGGCGGTGCAGATGATGGTGCCGCTGGGAGTGATCTCGCTCTCGTGGAGATCACAGTAACTATCCTTCTGAGAGTTATCGGGAGTGACAAAGGCGCCAGTGAGAGTGACGGTGTAGATCTCCTTGTATGTGTTGTCGAGAATATGAACCGAGCCATAACCGTAGCCGACGTCCATCATGTCACCAGCCCAGAAGGTGATAACATCCTCGCCATCGAGCTTCTGCACTTTGAAGTTGGCAGTGACCTCTTCAGGACCTTCGTATACCAAGTTACCTGCATCATCGTAGATAAGCGCAGCAGAACCAGCCGTCTGGACGCCACCACGAGGACCGAGGAAGATATATCCGGGGTCGGTTGTTCCAGTCTTGTTAACCTCCAGCTTGGGAGGCTGGAAGCCCATCGAGGAATATGTTGAGTAGTCCCATGCCGCTGCCTGAAGAGACAGGAGCAGAGCACTGCCTGCGGTGTACCACTTCATGATTAAGGAAAGCTAATTGTTCAAATGAACGATCTAAAGAATGACGAAAGTGAGTTTGTTAAGACGTGATAGATCTGGACATCCAGGATCTCAAATAGGGGATACGCATTGGAAAAGCCAGCCCTGAAGATCACTTCCTCATGTTGGGTGGATTCACGAACCATTGCCCAGTCAGGTTGGCCACCGCCACGAAGCCGTGGGACTGAATAAATGGCCTTGGCCTCGTCATTGGCCCACTTGCGGGTCCCTTAATCAATCTGGGAGATAATCGAGGCTGCATCTCCAGATGTTGGACCTGTGTTTGATAGGCGATGGATATTCCTCAGGGGGTCATTGTCCCGGTCGGTCACACAAGGGAATAGTATTACCCCGACTCGTGCAAGCCATCCATTAGGATACTAGGATGAGTAGACTTTAGAGATCAGCGTGACGATCACGTTGCGGGTTTCTTGGCAGTGCAGTGCTGAAGCGTGGATTCCGCGCTGTGCCGTTTAACATTGTGGAGAAATAAAAAAGATGAGTGTGTGGTTCCATGGTAAGATGCAAGGCGAAACAGCGTCCCTGACGCTTGGTAGCGACCGGAGCCAACGATATCCCATTTTAGCCGGTTAATTCCCGGGGATTAGGCCGAGATGTTTGATGACCGTCAGAGGTTGCAATGAAGTCGAAGGTTCAGATGAGGCATCGGTAGAAATTGGAATATCCGATGCACGTGGGAAGCCAGCTGACCTTATTTGGAAGGCCTGACAAATGAGGAACAATCACATCGTTCAAGTGCTTTTTTTGTTAAAATGAATCTCATTAGGTGGAGTATGATACATAATTAACTTACTGTATGAAATGCCGATTCAATGTCCAATTTGGAATGCATAAGACAAGCTAAATAAGAAATGTACAAGTATCTTTCGTGTTTCACATACTACGTACACTATCATGAGGATAGATCTGGTGTCTCGTCAAAGACGACCCTCGCACCTAGCACGCCCATCGACGAGGCCACACGATCCAGGAAATTGGCCCCACGAGGATCATGGCCGTCAGAAGCCTTGGACGGACCGTTTCCAAGCTCTGACTGAACGCGAAAGGGAAGAGAGAAGTTTTTAGAGCTGGCAGTCGAAGGAGAAGTAGAGTAAGTGCTGCGGTCACTGGGTGGTGAATTGACGGACTCTGGAGAAAGGGCTTCCTCAATCACACGCACACGGAGTCTATCCTCAAGTCGGGTGACTAGCTTTTGGATTGTTTCCATCATGTTCTCGGCTCCTAGGAGAAGGAGTGAGGGTCCGGTGTCAGGAAAGACGTCTGGAACAGGTCCAATGAAGGGTTTACTGGGACCTTGGATGATTCCTTGTTGGCGCTCATTGTGTGCGCTGATACAGGACCGGAGGTCGGAGATCAGGGATTCAAGTCGCTGGGAGGTATTCTGTATACGGCTGATGAGGCCGTTTATTTTGGCATGGTCTGGATCGGTGGTTCCTGCGAGAAGATCTCGAGTCTCACTGATATACCGCGGACACTTGGCAGTCTCCATGTGAATCAGATCAACCAGGTCAGTATATGCGCTCCATTCCCCAGGCTTGGTGCGATCCTCGGTCATCATTTTTATCGTGTAGTTTTGCCATTCGTCTTCATCCAGGAAGCATGGTTTTCCTTCGTATAGAGCCAAGAGGATAAGAAAGCCTCTGAAGGCTATGAAGCAGAACCGTCCGAAGCCAGACTCGAAAGCGGCCGCAGTTCTCTTTATCATAAGCCGCCTTACGGCATCGCTGTGCACAACCCATGCGTCCGGTGTAGTCTGAGCGTACATTTCAAAAACGCTTAAAATAATGGTTGTGCAAAGCATATTA